AGATAATAAAACAATTAAGAAAAACATACGTTCCTTCCCCATGTCGGCACGTGCAGCTTTTGGAAGATGGTGCTGCTCACGTGAGTGGGTCTCTGATGCCGAAAGCAAAAACTCTGCGACCGCTCTAGCGTCCTCCTTTACCAACGAGTTAAATTCTGCTGTTGATAGGTTATTCCCGTCTAAGGTTATTAGAATTCATAACTCTGACAAACCATGGATGACGCCTGCATTAAAAAAACTGATTTATCAAAGGCAAAAAGCCTTTCATTCTGGTAACCTTGACATCTGGCGTCACTATAGACTTAAAGTCCGAAACGACATAGGAGTGAAAAAGCGTGCATATTATACGAACAAGGTACAACACCTAAAATCCAGTGACTCCAGAAAATGGTGGGACTGTGTTAACCAGATGTCCGGGAAAAAAAGATCTGCAACCAATAACATTAAGATCGTTAAGTATGGTACCACTCTATCTGGTAAAGATCTCGCCCAATCACTTAACACCTATTTCTTAAGCGTGAGTAATGACCTACCACCACTGAATCCTCTCCTGCTACCTGCCTTTCTCCCTGCACCAAGGCCTGTACCAAAAATTTTCCCTTGCGAAGTTTGCACTAAGATGCTCAATACAAAAGTTTTCAAATCCAGCGGTCCTGACAATATTCCTAACCGGATTATTAAGGATTTCGCGTACGAATTGGCCGAACCTGTATGTCACATCTTTAATACATCTCTGTCCACTGGTGAATTCCATAACATATGGAAAGATGCATTAATTACACCAATTCCTAAAGCGCCATCCGTATCCTGTGAGGAGGAGTTGCGCCCAATCTCCCTTACAGCCTCTTTGTCCAAAATTCTTGAGGACTTTGTGGTCAATTGGATGGTGGATGACGTGAACATAAAATCAACCCGCAACAATTTGGTTGCCTTAAAGGAACCTCTACAACGTTTTGCTTGATCGAAATGATCAACAATTGGCTGAGAACATTGTATGATAAATCGAGCTATCTGCGGATCGTTTTCCTCGATTTCAGTAAAGCGTTCGACCGCATCGACCATAATATCCTGGTCCTAAAGTTGCTGGCCCTTGGCGTCAGATTGTCGCTTATTCCATGGATATGCATCTTTCTCTCAAATCGCCGTCAATCGGTAAAGATCGACAATTTCCAATCTGATTGGGGCATCAATAACGCAGGTGTCCCTCAAGGAACCAAATTGGGCCCTATTTTGTTCATAATTATGATCAACGATCTTGAACTAGCATCCTCTAGCACTGACCATTGGAAATACGTGGATGACGTAACAATATCGGAGTCCTTAAAGAAAAATGAAGTTTCAGTCCTACAATCTGATCTTAACACAATTGAAAGATGGGCTGTTAATAACAACATGAAATTGAAGGGAAAGAAATGCAACGAAATGATAGTGAATTTCGTGCGTAGCGAGAATGACATCCCCCGACTCCTCATTGATGGTTTACCTCTAGACTTAGTTCCTTCTTTCAAAATTTTGGGCTTAACCATAAACAATAAATTGAAATGGCAAGATAACACTGAAGCGTTAGTTAAAAAGCTCTAGTTGGGGAATAGCGAAGTCGCAATATGGCGGAGAACGCTGTTAGACAAGCTCTTAAAAAGATTGAAATCTTTGTTGAGGGCTTTCTTTCGTCCCCAAATGGTGATTCGTATGGACTGGTGGAGTATTTAGTCGCTGACGAGGGGAAATTAAAGTGGTTGGGCTCTCTGGAGGACTTAAAATTGTTTATAGAATCTTCGCTTCGCATCGACGGTAGATGGTCATCACCGGGTGGCAACGCCAAAAAATTTACGCTCAAATCAGTCGAACCTGATCAGCAGTTTGGCTTCGTTTGGTATTGCAGAAAGCAGAATACGATAGTGTTTCAGGGCGATCCTGAGAGGGTTGAAGCAGCGAAATCAAAACTTATATCGATTGCAAACAAACATGTAAACAAAGAGACTACATCGATCGGGTGAGTGAACAGTTATTTGATCAGGTGGACCTACAAGTGCGTGGAGTTGATTGTGATGGTCCTGATCGGCGGGAGCAAGACCTGAACGTAACTTTAGTGGTTAATGAAGAGAGCCAGACTGAATATACTTCGAGTTTAATAAATGGATCATCGACTCAGTCTGCATGTGCGTGTACATGTAGTCAAGGTGAAATTATTGCAGAAATAGAGGGTATTAAGCTAGATTTGGCGATCTTTAAGTCGCAGTCTTGTTTTGGTACAGATAATCAATATGATTCTCTGCAATCTAACATTAAGTCATTGCAATCTACACAGAAATCCCTTAAAAATATTATTAAAACTCAAGACGAGACAATAAATTCACTTCAACAAGAAATATTTGTATTTAAGTCCAAGCTTTTGTCCTTGGAAACGCTATTGTTTAATGTTAATCCTCAATTGAACGCTTCACTTGATCTTGATAGCCAGATACAATGCACTGCGAAAGTAAATCCCCAAGGGTCCAATAATGATGTTGGAAAGAGTAATTGCGAAATACTATTACCCACGCACTCGAATAATAATCAGTCTACCAACGAAAATTGTATGACGAATTGTAGTTCTCCAAAAAGTTATTTTAGTATCAATGCTAATGACCCTTCTCCACTTGTGAGTGATGTTGTTCCTGTCCTACCTGCGAGTAATGCAGACTTAATGCCCAAAAGTTCTCTTGGTGTAGAAGTTAATGTCCCTGTCCCAAATGTGAGCGATGCAAACTTACCGCCAACCAATGAGATGCAAGTTCCCAAAAATGAAACGCCTTGTCCGTTTATTTTGCGGCGTGGCTGGTGCTTAAAAGGTGAACAGTGCGACTTTTCTCATCGAAATATGGTTAATAATGATCAAGCTCGCCAGCATTCCGACGATAAAAAAGGCTCCTTATTTTGTCCGTTTCTACGTAAGAAGGGCTATTGTTTGAAAGAATCCAGATGTGATTTTTCCCATGTCGAACCCTATTCGTATCCAACTGGAAATCATCCGGTAACAAATGATAACTTACAATGCCCCCAATTACATCCTTTTTTAGGAAGTCACGACCTACAAAATATTCCGACTTTGATGCGCCAACTCGAAACAAGATTACAGAGTCTCGAGTATGCTCAAATACCTCACCCCCCTTACCACCGGTATTCAGTGTCTCAACCGCTGTTCCCTCCACCAAAATCAATGTATCCACGACCACTAATGATGACCCCAGTTCATCCCCCTCAGTATTTACGTCGCCCACGCGACAAAATGAACGAGCAGTATCCCCCAAATTACCTTCTGCGCCCACGCGACATAACGAACAAGCAGTATCCCCCAAATTATCTTCCGAGGCCATGGTTACCCCAACCCTGGCCAACACACCCACCATTTCCACGTCGTATGTAGCTCGTGATAACAATTTCCCGCTCCCTACCCTGCTGGTGGCCAATGTCCGTTCTATAATTAATAAAATAGACGAACTAGAGTTGGTAGCTCAAATTAACCAAGTTGAGGTCATATGCATTACTGAATCTTGGCTTAACACCTCTGTTGTGGACTCAATGATTTCGTTATCGAACTTCATCCAATTCAGAAATGATCGCACATACTCCTGCGGTGGCGGCGTTTCCATTTATATTAAAGAAGAAATTTACTGTAGGAGGCTCGAGCATTTCGAGGATTCAGCCATTGAATCCCTATGGTTACTACTTAGACCTAAGCGTTTACCAAGATCTATATCCGCTCTTCTACTTGCAGTCATTTACCACACCCCCTCCTCCGGCGCCAACGAGAACTTTGAACTGTACAACCATATCCAGCGTAATGTCGAATCCTTCCTTTCTCTGCATCCTGATGGTCTCGTGTTTGTGACTGGGGATTTTAACCCTGTCAGTACATTATTTGATGAAAAACGGTTGAAAAGATTGTCCGGTTTAACTCAAATTATTAATGTCCCAACACGTCACAACGCCATATTGGATTGGTGTCTCACAAATGCCAAGAAAGTCGTTTTTGATGTAAGCCAGCTTCCTCCTATTGGCTCGAGCGACCATAATGCCATTTTAATAAAACCCCATAAAGATCGTCTGGAGAATTCGTGTAATAAACGAGTATGCAAAAGAGATTTAAGAGATAGCAGTATAAGACATTTTGGTCAGACTATTACATCTACCGATTGGACGGAGATATTCGAAATACCTGATCCTAACATGAAGTACCGGAGATTTAATGAGGTAGTTTCTGCAATGATGGATTGTTTTTTCCCCAATAAACCAACTAGTGTTAGGGAATCTGATAAACCATGGATGACGTCATCGCTTAAGTCCTCCATTAGTAAGCGACAAAAATCACTTCATAAGTACGGAAGAAATTCACAAGCATATAGATTTTGGCGCAATAGAGTTCAACGGGATGTTAAAGTGGCACGTAGAAAGTACTATGCCAATTCCGTGCAGAAGTTGAAAAGTGCAAACCCTTCCAGATGGTGGAAAGAGGTTAAATCCATAGGGGGCCTATCTTCTCGGGAATCTTGGGTACATCAACTACTTTCTGAAGTAAACCCCACCTGTGAGGACCTTGCTGAGTCATATAACGGATATCTTGTTGGACTTACTTCGCATTTTAAACCCTTGTTAGAATGCACCGATGACCAGGAGACAGAAGTTCCCAACCATCTACTCGTAAATATACGGCAAGTTTATTCAGTGTTGCGACGTCTTAAAACGACGAAGTCTCCTGGCCCAGACGGTATCCCAAATAGGATCCTGAAAACCTTCGCTTTTGAATTTGCCCCTATCATAATGGACATATACAATACATCAGTGCTCCAGGGAGTCTTCCCTGATCAGCTAAAACGTTCTATCGTCGTTCCCATTCCAAAAGTGTCACCACCTCAGACTATTGAGGACGATTTAAGACCTATATCACTCACAGCTCAGGTATCTAAAGTGATGGAAGGATTTATGCTACAGTCCCTTATGTCGGAAGTGGGTCTTAAATTGGACCCAAAGCAATTTGCTCTTCCGGGAAAGTCAACCACTCAGGCACTCGTTTATCTCCTCCACTTGATTCATGCTGCTTTAGATCAAGGCCACTGCTCTGTAAGAATCTTTTTTGCTGATTTCAAAAAAGGTTTTGATCTCGTCGACCATAATGTCATTATTGATGAACTTTTAAAATTACAAGTGAGTCCTGCCATTATAAGATGGATAAAGTCGTTCCTTACCTCCCGCGAACAGTGTGTTAAAATCGGACCATCCTTTTCCTCATGGAAACCCGTTAACGGTGGCCTACCTCAAGGAACTAAACTTGGCCCTCTTCTCTTTGCCATTTTAGTCAATTCCCTCCTACAGGACTGGAATGGGCGGATAAAGTTTGTAGACGATGCTACTGCACTAGAAATTGTACCACGTTGCTCTCCTAGCTTGCTACCTATTCTCGTAAATGATGTATCTCAGTATGCCTCAAGTAGAGGAATGAAGCTTAACAGTAAGAAATGTAAGGAGATGACAATATCCTTCCTCCAATACCACCTTCCACTTGATAATGCGATCTATATAGATGGTTCGCCAGTGCAATCAGTATCCTCCTTTAAACTGCTCGGTGTGCTACTGAGAGAGGATCTATCTTGGTGTGATCATGTCGACTATGTGATTAAAAAAGCAAATTCCAGACTCTATGCATTGCGGAAGTTAAAAAAGGCTGGGTTAAGCGATAAAGACCTTGTCACTATATATTCCTCCTTCATTCGGTCCCGAATTGAGTACGCTTCACCTGCGTGGTCAACGCTAACCCAAGGCCAGTCTGACCTTATCGAATCGATACAGAGAAGAGCATTACGTATCTTGCTTCCCGAAATGTCGTATCAAGACGCATTGAATTATACTGGTCTAAAAAAAGTTAAGTACGCGTAGACATAATTCCTGTGAACAATTTATTCGGAAATTGAAGCTTGACAATGGTCCTATAAATCCTCTTAAGGATGTTGTTGCAACTCGTATACATCCAAATACTCATAATTATAATCTTAGGTCCGAATCAAGCTGGTCACTCCAAACGAACACAGAACGGTTTCAAAATTTTATAACTGTCAAATATAATTATTAATGTATTATTGATTTAGTAGTATTCGTGTATATTAATTCAGGGACCCAATTATAATTTGTGGACAGATTTAAACTGACTATTCAGAACGAACATTGAACGGTTTGAACTCAATTTTATTTGTAAATTTAATTTTTAATGTATTTACTTATAATCATGTAATTCAGTAGAGACTGCAATGTGATTAATTAAACAGATTATTATTATATTATTATTATTATTATTAATGTACCTGTTAGTAAGACAGATCGTTTTAAAAAATCTTTTATTATTAGTCATAGCTAAAATAATTATATAAATTTTAACAACAATTAACCTAGGTGATAAATTGACTTACTCAGTTACTTTTAATTTTAATTATTCAAAATTGTTGTAATAATGTATAAAACTCAATTGTTGTAAATATTCACATAATTCAGTCTATGACTGCAAAGTGTTTTATTTGAATAAACGAATCTAACTAACTAACTAACTAACTAACTAACTAACAAACCTGCAGCAGACTTGTCATCAGGATGTATTCGCACTGCTTGTTCCCGATCTTGTTTCCGGTGATGTAATTGTCTGGTGAATCGTCTATTATGAACGATAACTAGATAAAATGCTTTAAAGCCAAGGCTCTTTGTTAAGGCAACAATTTTACAGAAAGACGTATTGTGGAAAAAGTTTGAAAACATAATTATCCTTAACAAAAACACGTTAATTCAGACAATCCTGCGAAAATCAACGAGCAAAGATTTCACAAAGTCTTTTCGTGCGAGGGCCACATTTCCAGTGTTCGCTGTTTGGCTTTCATCAATGTAAACCCTCGTGCAGTCCAAAATTCTCATTCCCACAAACACCTCTTATTCTCTGGTGGTAGCCGAGCTTCTTTGAAATGTTGGTCATTGGATGTTGACATGGTATTGAAAAATGAAATAAATGGCAAATCTTCGAATCTGAATACATCGTTAATCTCAAGTTGCACGCTTTTAGCAGAACTTCGTAATCTATCCCGTAGATCTCGAAAGAAGAAACGGCTTGGCAGTTATAAGGATGAAGAGTTTACCTGTGATATTCGTTTTATGTCGCTAAGTGCTTTTCCAGTCACTGATCTCGTACGTTCTGTCTGGACTGCTGTGGATGTTCCTCCTGCCGTTGGAGTTATTGCTGGCTGTTCGGATGGTTACCTAAGGTACAACTGATTGTTTCATGAATAGCGAGCAAAAAAATGCCCGTATGAACTTTTGTTATTTTACTGTTTTGTATTATTTCAGGTTTTATGTATTTGACTATGAAGTAAAGAATTTTACAGTAATTGGTCAGGGAACATGGAACGAAAGATGCGTGCTTTGTGTTGGTCACTTTTTCCACATTGTCTCAACACAATCACGACTTATTGTCTACGCTTCGGACACAGCAGGCTACATCAGCTTCTGGGACGTAACGCAACTCTATATTGAACATTTCTCGCGTCAAAGAGAAGATATCGATGATACAGACATTTTAGAAGAGAGGTTTAACTCTATGAACACAGGTGACGCTTGCGTCCTTGGCAACCAAAGATTAGAAACGGAAAATGATTTTAGTTCATCAAAGAATTCTAGTTCTCAAAATTCTGTGGCAGATAATCCAAACAAGATCAAGTCAAAGAAAGATTTTATACGACCATTTTATTCTCATAAGCTGCATCAGTCTGGAGTGAATTCCATCAGCTTGATGACAAAAGGTGAAACAGCCTATTTAAAACTAATCTATAAGCAAATTTTTTTAGAGTGGTTTCTTTATTAGTTTTTAAAAAACTGTGTTTTCTTTTGAATCCCAGTATGAATAAAGATTTATATTAACTTCAATCGTAGTGTATAGCTCTAGAAGTTTTAAAGTGTTCTCCTAGACCATCCTGCATGCAGGGGACAATGTATAATTATTGCGTTTTGCTTTCAGAGAACGACAAGTACTTGCTATGCAGTGGTGGTGATGATGGCGCTGTGGCATTTGCCTCGTTTAAAATTCAGGCAGTGAATGATGAAGTGGATATTTGCTCTTGGAATATGGTTTCCATTCCCAATGCCCACACATCGGCTGCGACTGGTAAGTCACTTAAATGTTGGCGGGTATATAGTAATTTTAAATTCATTATGGACATTTAGCTAAATTCTCCACCATAAAGCCCCTTTCGTAACGTCTTAAAACTGTGTAAAATTCATGCAAGGGATGATACACGACAACTCCAATATGAAAATGCTGTGCTGAGTGGTTATATTACTACCTTAAAACATAAGCAGAAACTCGACGTTTCGAGCGAAGGCCCTTTGACGAATTAGCGAAGGCCCTTTCTGCTTATGTTTTAAGGTAGTAATATAACCACTCAGCACAGCATTTTCACATTGGTACTACCTACACTGGTACAGACAGTTTAGGACAACTCCAATAGTCTTCTTTGAAATCATTTATTTGAAAGAGTTAGTTCTGGCCGTCGTCATCACGTTGTCGTCCTACATGCTGAAAGTCCCTACTTGTGTCTTGTGTATAAGCGATATTTTGTATCACAAAACCGCTTCGGATAAAACATCAATTTTGGTCTCACAACATTGAACAGATGGGGATGAGGCATTATGTTATCGTTTCAACTTATCGGTTCACGAATTTCCTTCACTGAATGTGGATAAATATAAATGCCCGCCTGCAATCTAATTTAAAGGTGCAAAACTTTTGAACGACAACACAGCTGTATCTGCTTCCATTGATCAAAGACTGAAATTATGGAAAATCGATTGGAATAACGAGGTATACATATTCAGTTTTTTATATTAACAAATTAATTGGATCAAATGTGTACAATATGTTTTCAAATCTATAAGAATATATGCAAACAAATATTTCTATTAGTGTATGATTTTACGGGGCTTCGGTGGTGTTCTCGTCGTAGCAAGTGCCTTTCACTTCTGAGATCGTGAGTTCAATTCTCGCTGAGGACTCGTGGCACTTATGTGAAAAATATCAGTCATCGCGTTGCTAACAGTCGTAGGTTTTCCCAGGGTTTTCCCCCAGGTCCTCCGTTTTCCTCTCGCAGGGAATGTTGGCAAGATGGTTTGGGATAAATCTCAAACTAACCCTTCCATCCCAGATATGCTCTGTGACATCAATCAGCCTGAATCGCCATCGGAATCTTTATCAGGTTGAGCTGCGTCCATCATAATTCAGCTCAGTTCTCAGCTGTTTAGACATTTTTGCAATGGCCTATTTAAAGGCGATGCATGTTGCACGGAAAGACTTCCAACGACGATTTGTAATGCAAATGACGTTACTCGAAATTTGATTGTTTGGTTCATGCGTATAGCGTTACGAATCATTGTTGAAAGTTGTCGCGTGAAATATTACCTTAATTCTTCTTTACCAGTTTTACCTACCACTCAATGTTTAGAATATTAGGATGTTGGTAGCTGGGCATGTGTTAGCTGATTAAGGTGAAAGATACGCATTTGTTCTGCATATTGTAATATAAATCTTTTGCCAACTACCATAGTTGGTTTCTTGCTGAGCTTCTCCGTTATTTTCCGCTTTAGATAACAAAGTTGTCTGCGGTGACTTTGATTGATGCTTACTGGCTTGACGTGGTTGATGTTCAGGGTATCGATGAACAGCGAGATAGGTTAGTATTAGTTTAGTAATGATTTCCACGCTTCTTTTTTTGGATTACGGATATCTCGACCTTGTATTTTTAAAAAGCAGAAAAAATATGAATGCCGCTTATCAGTTTTGATGTGTTGGGTTTTTTCCATCCGACCATATTGTAGAAAGTATTGGTATTTATTCCAAAAATATAAAATGTGCGAGAATAAAGTCAGGCCGACGTGCAGGCTAAACCTTCAACACGCAATTGTCACGTATGGTCATGCACTCCACGTGAATGTGAAGCATGGCCGAAGGAGGCGATGTTTACTTCGCTGTACTCTTTGACTTTGGATGTACATGTCACTGTGCGTGTGGTATTAGATATTAGACAATACTTTATTTTTTTTATTTTTTGCCCTTCCGCCCTTTAATATTGGCGCGGAGCAAAAATCCGTAATCCAACAAAAAAAAGCGTGGCCTATACTTAAGGCTAGATTCCACTCAGGAAAATTATCCATGGATTGGAACGGACAAGAAATTTTTCTTTGTGTTAAAGTCATTAGTTCCAACCCAGAGCTCACAAGACAAAGAAAAATTTTCTTGTCCGTTCCAATCCACGGATAATTTTCCTGAGTGGAAACTAGCCTTTAGAGCTACTACAACATGTCTCAGGACTAGATGAATGCAAAATTAAACCGTGTTCAAATCCCACTGATCTCAAAACTAGAACTGGATAGAGCATCTGCTATGCTTACATGAAGTCAATGGCAGGCGTACTGTGTGACCACCGCAAATCTACAGTGGTGTTGCTGACATTTTGTAAGAGGATTTAAAGTTGCTGGTAATTGGTAGGAATAAAAAAATACCCAGAGAGAACTTAGTTATTAGTGGCCTCACTTCTTTCTAGAATTTGCCAGTGAATAATTAATGAGGTCACACACACTGGGCGCTTTCCATTTGAACAGAAAACCCAGTTTGCGTTTCCGGAATGTCCAGTGGCAAAATGGAACGCCACAGCGTGACAGGCCTTGTAAATAATGGGAGGCTTGTTGGGAGCTTTCCATTTGACAGAAATTCCAGGAAATCTTGCTTGAAAATCAAATGGAACACGTTAATTTCTGGAATGCTGTTTCTTTAATTTTGAAGAATTTGACGCCGCCGCTCAAATCTCGTCTTTCAGCATTCGGCGAAATAAATCCAGACTCGAGGCACCGAAACGGTCGAGAACCCGCCATTTTGGTTTCGGTGGCGGTTTTTGCTCGTCGAAGACTGGAAAGTAGAAACGTGGTTGGGAAATTTTTAATGGATGTAAAAATTTCGAAACTTCCGGAATTTCCAATTTGTGGACAACCTCGAGAGATTGTCCGAAATTTTCGAAACAGCATTCCAGCACTCTTGTATAAGCAAATGTGCATGCACGTGTAAGAATCCTCTTTTGAGCTGAATCTTTGAGCTGAATCCTCAAATGTGCATGCACGTGTAAGAATCCTCTTTTGTTTATGTTGCTGTCTAGGAATGGATTATACTACATTGTAGCAAGCGGAGTTGGACTCATGATACTCAGGTAGCTTTAAATCCGGTTTACATTTATAGTCGTGCCGGTTGCGACCATACCAGGGTGGAAAGACCATTGCTAGCGTACGCAGATATTTTTTGGACTGTACAACACAATATGAAACCGCTCGCGTTGTTCGGAGCAGTCAAATTAAGGTATACTAATTATGAGCGACGTCAGGAAGATTTTTTCACAAATTGGTGTGTTTTTATAAATGTACATCACGCAATAATTTGTGTTGAAATCCAACTAATACTGAAATATTCGATCATTATTTTTTGCCTTCATCTGTCCGTTTGTGGATTTCTTTTTAATACAGTGATGTATTACGTTCAGCATATATGTAATTTGTCGTCCTGTGCTTCCATTTTACATAGGCTTTAGGCTTAGGCTTGGGTTTTGTGGTTTGAATACTTACTTATTTAGGATAAAATGTAAATTATCACCAGCTTGTGCGTTTCATGGATATCGTGAATAATCAGTTTCTTGTCCACGATATGCTGTTCAACGAGTTTTGTTATTTAGCCCTGCTGTGCAATTCTTGGCAAATGGAAAAAGTTCAACTTTGTTTATACGGGCTGTAAGAATTCAAATAAATCGAAATTTTATGAAGCCGTTCAAAGAATTCTCTGTTTGTTTCGAATTCGGACGTGAAAGCCGTAGATAAGCCATATTGCTTTTGACTTGAACTTGTATTTTTTCTCATGTAAAAATACAATTTTTATAACTCGAATATATTTTTAATGTTTTCAAATTAAACCGAACGAATCGCCAGCGGGTTATTTTGACTTACGTCTTTCAATTATATATTAAATCAGAGCATAGTTTATGATCAGAGGTGATGTAAATCAAAATAAACCGTTAGTGATTTGTTCGTCTTAACTGAAAACATTAAAAATGTGCAAAAGCGGCCTTGGTTTGCCCGTTCGAGCAGCAAATTCATTAAAATATCTTTATGTCAAATGAAAGTAGAAAAACGTGTGGGAAATTTGTCGACGCTGATCAAAAAACCTGTTAAGTAACAATGATTAAAAGTGGTTAATAATTAAAATGTAATATAATGAAGAACTGGCTGCACGCGATGCGCAATTTTACTACTAACGTTACATGCTGCGTTACCTGTTGCGTTACCACACCGACGAGAAAACACATATTAACCCGAAATTTCCCTTGAACTGACAGTTTGTGTGGTTTGTTGCGCCAGAGAAGAGCTTGTAAAATTGTTGCCAAGTTTACAAGTGTATCCCTGGAAAAATCATGCTTGGAAATATATTTACGTATAGCAGTGTGTTGTATTTTCTTCTCATGCAGAATTTAGCGGGCTTTGATCAAACTTGCAACACATGCGGTCAAATATATTTCAACGTCGAACATGGAGTGCAGGACAGATTCTTGCATGATGGCCGAAATCTGGCGACTAAGATTGTTAAAAGCGACTCGGAATGTTTCGTAGAATGCTCGTTTGATTGTCGATGCATGTCCTTCACTGTTTGTGAGAATTCATGTCAGTTGAATGCTGGAAGTCGTAAGTTGGTGAAAAAATCACTGCGACATAAGCATGGGTGTCGTTACTATGATCTTCCACCGTTTAAGGTGTATAAGCATTTCCAAACGCATCTCTTCTTTTCAATATTTTACGCTAATATGCATGCAGACGGGAGAGAATAGTCGAGCACGCGAACAGTGCTCGGCAAGAATATTTAAAATTAAGGCACAGGAATTTTTTCGACAGAAGATTTGTTACTTGAAAATTTGAAGAAACACCTGCAGTAACACATTTGTCTCACCATGATGTGTCTATATAACAATTAGTATTCGAGAGGTATTTTTATTCCTTAAGGTCAAAGCCATGCTCAGTATATAAAATTTATGCAGACAATGGCTGGGATTTTCACAATACTCTGCTCGTTTGCAGAAAATTGCTACCGTCAGGTTATGCACACAGGAAGAAGGTATTTTTCCACCCTTGAACGCTACTTTCTGACAACATGATTTCACTAAATACTAATGCATCTAATGATCATGTACTATATATATTTCATTTTGACCATGTAATTTCTCACTTTTCTAGAGTACATGTGATTCCTCATCCAGCCCTCCAAGACTTTGCGGCTTGCCCTCATCTCCATTGTGTTATAACGGGGCTACCTGTGTCGTCAATGTCACTGACACGACCAGACCATTCCAATGCCAGTGCCCGACTGGCTACTATGGAAACGAGTGTCAAATAAAAAACCCGAAAACATGTTTGGATTATTGGACTGACAAAGTCAAACCGATGTCCGAAAAGTATACGCTTGTAGACTCGAGCGGGAAAATGTATGAAATCTTTTGTGATTTCGACTCGGAGGAAGGCATGGCGTGGACCCTCTTTGAATCATTTGATCTGAATCATCACTTTTACCTGGTGGAATATTCGTTTACAGAAGATTATCCGAAAAACGACCATAGTCTAAACTGGAAGCTTTTTCGCCTTCGAAAGTCTGTAATGTCCGAAATCTCGTCTCTTTCGACATTTTGGAGGGCAACGTGTTCCTATTCTGTGTATGGTGTCGACTTTAGAGACTACATCAGAGTACGACTATCGATAATGGATCCCTTAGCATACGATCATAGTCCAGAATGTTCAACTGTGGATTACTTCGATATAAAAGGTACGAATTGCATGAATTGCACTCAAATAATCTTCCAAACCAATAAAAGATGCTCCGTCTCCGACTTGACGTCAGTCATACGAGTAAATGTACTTTCGACACATCAAAGGTCGAGCATCAATGTGGCAATGGGCACTATGCGCGACTTCTTGGCCGCTATGACAAGTGTTCAGACCCGAAACACCGATGTAGTGAGAAAAATACGTCTACAACTGAATTTTGGTTTGGTGCAGTAAAAAAGAACTATGGAAGTATGAGAACGGGCAACAGACATGAATACTCTGCTAGTGCCGCTGGGAGTCACCAATGATTTTCACACCAATATATACTTTTCTGTCCTGGAAATGAAGCAAAACTACTTTCATTTTTTATATTTTTACTTATTCAAATATTGTGACTAATGAATCACCTTTTGCTTATGGCTATAGCCCATTCGTTGGCTAGCCCCCCTCATGATGTGAAACAAATAACAATTTGGCCGGTAAAGCGAGCCAAGTATCCAGACGCCTGCATTGGTTATTCGCCGCCTACGCTATTCCTGCATGTATAAATATTGTTTTTAAATGCCTATCGCTGTATAAAATTATGTTCTCTCAACTGTTGAAGGCTGCATAGCTGATGCTGGTTTAATAGTTTAAAGTGGAAGTCAAGTCCATATGTAAACAAACGGTTTGTTTACATTTTGAACTGCTGTATTTTTTAAAATATGATGTACTGTCTGAATATCTGACACCATTTCGGTTCGCTATGCTTCTAAATGAATATGAAATAAAGTTTATGTTCAGAAAAATTCGAAACATTCGAAATTTGGGCAATGTTTACATTGGAGGGTCCTCATGACATTGTTATGAGCAGAACCAATGCGCAGAACGGACTTGACTTCCACTTTAATAGTTTCATAAACAGGAACAGACATTAAGCGTTTTGTTATATAGCGACGAACAAAAATCGACATTCAACAACATTCATACAACAATTTTATTTCGTGACAAAAACTCTATAGTGTAAACGAGTTTAAAATTAAAAGAACTTACTTAAACGGTTTCAGCAGCATATCCTGTTGTGTATTTTTCTTCTCTTTTACATTCTTTATTTGAACACAAACTTGGAAAATCGTAGTTTCTAATTATGCTAGTTGTGCCGCCATTTTATGCACGTAACCGGTCGGGGCGGGCAACAGTTTTCACTTGTTGCCCAGCGGGATACATTGCATTTATCTGAAGTCACGTGACCACAAATCAGCCAATCACGTTTGGTGTTCACCCTAGCTATATAACAATGTTAATTTTACGAGCTTTTAACAATTAGACAACGACGCCGGTCAAATCGCTACCAGTCTGGCATGGCCCTGTCGTGGATTATGACTCTTAGGGCATTCAGTCTCTCCTAGCAGGTCTTATATATACCCTTGCAGGATGGAAATAAGGCTTAATCAGTCTTTGGGTTGACCAGAGTTTCAGAGCATGATCCCATTCTCCCACAATAATTTGGTGTGTGTTTTACTTATTTTCGGGCTGTTCTTTGACGTATAACGTGCTGGAATCATTAACACGTAACCTTCTATTTACATGCACCTATAACCAAGAGCAGCCAAACGAAACTTGCAGATTACAGAATTTTCTGCTTTCACTATAAGTTGTACATACAGACGTAGCACATTGATCTCAAGTGTACGATTTTAAGAATCACGTAATAGTTTAATATGAAACAGGAAAGTGAAATTGATGAGAAATTTTGCTTAAGGTTTACTCCGAACAATATACAATACATGCGCCATATTCCTCAATATGTTGGAATGCTGATTGCAGTGTATATTGCTTGTAGATTTTGGCAGAGCAAAAGATTTACGATATATCTCAAATCAACCAGAGTTTCTCTCATTCTAAATATTTTTTTCAACTATACAAGCAAATAATTTACATATAATATTTATTTATTTTAATGACGATCTTTAATTTAAACGTCGATAGTTTTCAAACTTTGAGCTTATAATAATGTTAATAACAGCAATATATACATGAACAATACCAACTTACTAGTTACTGCAATATATATATACACAACCATGCACGTCCTAAAATATTGAATATATATATAAGCTAACATAATATATAATAAAATTGAAAATAATGCTTAAGAGAAAGCAACGTGAAGCTATATAGTCAACTGTATCCGAGAGGATGTATACATAATATCCTATCTTAATAGTCTACACGAACATCGATGTAGCTATTATCTCTACAACTGACACAGTTTAAGTATGTAATGTCTAAACATCTCTGTTTTCCACCTGCACAGCTGGACTAGGCTCGGGAATTGCGTCTGTTGGGCTAACTTGTACCCTGGAAATGGAATCGCATATGAAGTATCCAATACAAAACAGGACTCCGAATAGTCCTACTATTGGTACAGATGGTATTACAATTCGTTTAATTTCGTCAATGTGTGGCATATCAGGCTCTGAAACCATAACGGATATAATCAGCATTAATATATTCCGAAAAGCAAGAGAAATGTTTATCTTCAGGGTCCCAGATCGCAGGCGCGCCACATCTTGAAAATTGTGCTGATTTTCGGAGTTATCCTGTTTGTGAAATTTGCACAGTAAAGACTCGGAGACGTGGAAAAAAAGGCAATAGTGTATAACTAAAAACCAACCCAGGTCTAAACATCCAAATCCATTACCAAACCATAAATCGTGATACAGTGTGGCTAGAAGAAAATGCGCTGCAATGAAAACAACCACGTAGAATCTCAGCACATAAGCACAGAAAACAATCGCAGATAATCTGGACATCAAAGCAAACATTTGCCATCCATAACACATTGCATTCCATAACACAACTTTAGAAATACATTTTAATTCATTTGGCGCGTTCTTTTTGTGTCGTGCTTTTTCAAGTTCTGTGATACTCCAAGCTGAGGATAACAGTGAAACTACAATTGAACCCAAAGTGTACCACGGGAAATACCACTGACGTAACATGATGTAAACTTGAAGACACCATTGCGGAATAGATGCAGTTACTGTCTCAATATGGCATAACCAGGCTAATTTATATGCTGACTTGGCTAACTTGCGCTTCTGCTCATGATGCGACTTGCAACTTTCACAGTCACTATCTTCGCAGTTTTCCCGGCCGCACGGTAAATTTTCACAATATGCGGAATTCCATTGCCTATATTCTTCCTTATAGCGAAAAATAATAGGCAAGCCAAAATAAAACAAATTGAGACACATTAAATTTAAACATCGACCCTCGCGTGGTGGATAGTTTTCATCAGAAGAGAAAATCTTAGTTTGGATGAAAGCTGCAATGTTGATAACAACAAAAGGAACAATTACAAAAGTCAACGTCAAGCCAAACCACCACCATTGATTCGTTTTATAATACTGATAGGCGACAATGCATGCTATCGGAGACCACATCAACTATATACAACAGCATTCCTGAGATTAAACACGCTAACTCGTCTTTTCCTCTCATTTTGGCAGACTGAATCGATCTTCTAAAAATACACAAAGCGACTGAATAATACCTACGGTATACAATTCTATAAATTTATTATCCGACGGACTTTGCGTATATGAAACAACTAAACAAGACAGAATATAATTTCAGTGTATCTTTAATATTGATTCCCTTTTTTATTATATTGAATTTTTTAAATAAAAAATAAAGCAAAGTTATTTGCAAGCGAGAATTTGAAATCATTTTATTGCAAACTCAAAGTTTGTCGATAAAGCCATTTAATAGTTAAAGGCAGTTTAGTTTTATATATAAAGAACACTTTAAAACGTTTTGTGAATTGTTTGTGGTTGAAGTTTACCTTAAATTGAAGCTTGTATTACGTATAATTACATACCTAACATAAATATGTTGGGAAATTGATAATTTTGTAATTAAAAGTGATATTTTTAGGCGATTTTCATTTGTAAGAATATTCTTAAAAAATTATCGTGTTACCATGACAACTACTTTAGATACTTCATGTTCGGAAAATACAACGGTTTTGTCAGCAAGGCGAGGGTTTCTGCATGCATGTATTTTCTAGTTTAATAAGTAATAGCCATTGGTATCATAGGGCAACAATGGCGTTTCTATATATGGCGGACATTTGGCTCTTAATTTAACGTTATGACGTGCTGCTGTAATTACAATGTGGTACTATGAGAAAAGATTACTCGAACCTTAAATTTCAATACACGGAAGGAGATGAACAAAAAGTTATGCCAGAATTGCGGAGAAATCCTTGAACGAAAAAGAGATAAATTTAACTCTTGCCGTTATGAATAAAAAATTAATGCTGTTCGCAGCTGTTCTAATAAGTTATATAAAATTTCTAATAAGTGCATGTATATAAAATTTACATATTTTGTAATAAATTGTATATTTTATAAATTGTATATAATTTTTACCCTTCAACTGTTATTCAATCGAATGAAATGCCAACAAAATTCTGATATGTACCAAAATTTAATTCGTACCGTTACATGTAAAAAAATTAAGCAGTATATTACTGCAGAAATCTTCTACTTTTAAAAACAATATTGCACTCTCTTTTCTCGGAATGGACAAGGCTTGCGCGGCGTGTTCGTGTTCCAAGATAACGCAAACCTCGGCCCTCTTTAATAGTAAAATATAGACCTGTCGTGTACATGTTTTGAAATTTTTTAAACAAACATTTTTGCACGATTGCAGAGCTTCTAGAAGTTACAAAAATATTCCTTATACTGTACCTTTCTTTATTTTTGTTCCTCTCTTCAGAAGACAAAATCTACGTGGATTTAATTGAAGAAGGCAAAGACAGAATATCGTTTACTCCACTTTTCGTTTACAACGTCATTTCGTCTGTCGAAATGCTTCAACGTTTAAACGACGGAACGTTTTAGCACTGTGTTGTTACGGCACCGGGTCTATATATGATGTTGTGGTTATTTGTTAATGCTGCTAGGCAACAGGAAATAACTTATGTACTATTTAATAAACGAGCAAGGAGTGTTTTATTAGGTTTAAAGCCACGAGCGCGCTGCGCGAGTGGCTTTAAGCCTGTTTTCCACTAGCCACTAGGCAGAATTTTGCACGCGGAGCGGAATTTTTCTTTGTCTTTTCCAATTAGTTCCACCTGAGGAATCACAAGACAAAGAAAAATTCCGCTCCGCGCGCAAAATTCCGCCTAATGGAAAACCGGCTTTAGACCTAATAAAACACGACCTGCGAGTTTATTGAACGGCTTCAAACACGACTTCTTATTAGGATTCTTTATATAAAAAATACTAACCAGGACACGACTACAATAGATACTGGCTTATTAGTATTCTTTATATAAAGAATACTAATTAGGAGTGTTTTATCAGGTTTAAAGCCACTGCACGTGACATATTATGGTTGACATTATTAATGAGTGTTTGAATGTACAGTGTGTCCCCCAAAAAAGTACCCTTATAACAATAGGATAATTTCTATAGAGGGTACTTTTTTGGGGGGCACACTGTTGGGGGACACACAAATTTTACGTATACTATATAAAAAATACATGCATGCAGAAACCCTCGCCTTGCTGACAAAACCATTATATATTTTCCGAACATGAAGTATTTAAAGTAGTTTTCATGGTAACACGATAGTAACACGATTTAATCCCTCGCCTTGCTGACAAAACCATTATATATTTTCCGAACATGAAGTATTTAAAGTAGTTTTCATGGTAACACGATAGTAACACGATTTAATGCATATTTTCATTGTTTTGAACAGGTTCTTATTTTTAATAAGCGACTATACAACTACAAGTCTACAACGGTCAGTAGCAAGTCATTATTGCGGTCAATCAGGTGGAACTGGAGGTCATTATTCTTAAAATAATAACCTCCTTTTAAGAATTAAGGCCTCGGAGCTCATGCATTATTCTATATTTAAAATTGAAAAGTCCACTAAGACCCCGTTTACACTAGAGCAAAAGTTTTCGGATTCATCACGAAACCGGAACGTTTCGGTACCGGATTCATGTTGCCGATGAATCTGATAGTAAATTATCTCGATTTCGTGCCGTGTCCGGAAACTTTGAATCCGGAAAAGTTTGCGGCAAATTCCTAGCCGAAAACATTTGAATCCGGAGAAAACTCACGTGTAAACGGCTTTCCGTATAGAATCTGAATCAATTTGTTCTGGTGTATTAGTTTTTTTCAAATTTATTGCTATTAAATTCCACTGCCGCAAACAGGGTCGCATATAAAACATCGCATATAATATCGATCACTAAAACTAAGAGGGTTAAAATTATTTACTTTATATTGACCATCGCTATTCGCTATGTGTATAGACAGTATAATATAGTGTAAACACCTCACGGATCCGTATATAGTTGAAAAACAAGGAATCCGGATGCTTTTACAAATCCAGAAACTTTTGCTCTAGTATAAACGTAGTCCAAATATCACTTTTAATTACAAAATTATCAATTTCCCAAACATACAGTGTCCCAAAAAACCCGCCGAAAAATATTGAAATAATTAACGTATTGTTATGCCTCAGCACCATGCTGAACCCAGACGTGCATCAAAGCTTGACGTATAAGTAAATTTTAATATTTTGTGCATAAAGAAACCGTTTAATTAAGGGCTTGTTCATATGATCCCGCTTACCGGGACGTCTCGCTTACCGAGACGAATATTTCCGTGCGTTCATATGGAATATTTCGTCCCGCTTGCCGAGATGAAATTACATTTTAGTTCTATAATTAGCGTATGCAAAACTTCTACATTTCAGTCAAGCAACACAAATACTTAGCGATTTTAGCCTTTTTCTTCGTTTAATATTTACAAGAAAAAGTATTGCTTCAGGTGCATATTTAATACTTGTTTACAAAACAAACATAAAACCAAGTAAAAATGTTAAATTAAACCGGCAAGACTTGTTTGACTTCATCCCGGTAAGCGGGCTGGCGTGTTCATATGGAAAAATAATTTCATCCCGCCTACCTATATGATCTCGGTAAATTCAAACGAGATCTCGGCAAGCGGGCCAGCTCGCTTTCTCATATGAACACAATGCAAAATTGTATAGGAAAATAGATAGGCGGCGAGATCATCGGTAAGCGAGACGTCCCGGTATTAAAGCGGGATCATATGAACAGGCCTTAAGTTAAGAGCTGCATGTTCTAAATTCCCAAGAGCAGAAAATCGTGCGCTTTACAAAGATATTTTAATTTCTTAATAAGTCAATATTTAATATATGCACCCTTGTCAATATTTTACGCATCTTTGTGTTCAGCTTAGTGCTAGGGCATTCAAATTCTAACAATACGTTATTTCAATGGTTTTGCGGGATTTTTGGACACCCTGTATACAGTATTCAACTGCTAAGCTTGCATGAACCTTGTGCTCCAATTACGCTTTGCGCCGCGCTTATAGAGTTTAAGGTTGCAAGGTTTAGAGTTTAGGGTTTGCAAAGGACAACCTTTTTTGAATTAGCTGCACCTCTCCTCTGTGGTTTAGTACTGTTGCGCTATATTATGCCATGCTGCCATATGTAAATATTTTGAACTTCTCAGTACAAAACTTTAGATAATTTTTAAAATACTCAATCAATATACTTCATTCAAACATTTTTAAACCCCTAGCTGGTTGTACAGTGTGTCCCCAAAAAAGTACCCTTATAACAATAGGATACTAAGCAATTATTGGATGAGGCTGAGCATGATATCAAGAATTATTCAGACCGAGGTCAATGTTATCTGCCGAAGCGAAGCTGAGGCGGATAACATAGACCGAGGTCTGAATAATTCTTGATATCATGCGAAAGCCGAATCCAATAATTGTTTTATTATACATTTAAAGACATGAGAAACATTAAAACGACAAATTCCTGTTCACGAGGTAGGAAAAGTACAATTTGAATATCAAACACCTTGCACAAAGTCGAAGGTCAGCTAAATATTCTATTTCTACTTCTATTTACCCCTTTGTGGCTTTTTTCGTGCTTTCACTGTCCTTATCTGCCAATAATTTGGAGAGTTCACTTTCAATCAGCGAAGCAAATCTGCTGTATAGGCCATTGTTTTTTTTTTCGCGCGCTTATAGGTTCAAGCTTTTGGCCGCGCAAGGGTTTGGGCGCGAGAGAGTCCAATAATTTTTTTTTTGGATGCAAGTTCGATCCAAAAAAACAATTATTGGACGCTGATGACGTCATCGGCGGAAAATACGTAATAAATGCCGAATACTGAAAATTAGCCGGTGCTTTCTGACCAATTAGAAACGAGAATACATATTAAATGTATAATAATTTCTATTATTAGAAAGATTTCTTCTAAACTAATTAAATGATGCTCCCATTATGCTTTGCACGCTTAGAGTTTAAGATGTAAGGTCAGAGATGTAAGGTTTAGAGTTCAAAGAATCATTGTCAACCACAACAATGCATTTGTTTACATCTTACCTTCGGAAGTGACAAATATAGCTTCAAATAGTGACAAATAATGACATCCCGACATGAATGATAATGATAGAATATACCTGGTTGCGCGGCGTTGAACGTTTTCAATTTGAAGTATCAGTGATACCGATTGTGGTGACCGGACCTGTGTGCAACATGCCATCTGTTTCAGTCAGTATGATGGCAACTTCTATATGGCCAAACAGCAGCACTTCCCCTTGCGATAGTAACTCCTAGTATAATTTTGCATAATTTCGTTGTACCTTCCGGTATACGTACTTAAAAGTTTGGAAAATATATAATAACGAATTCGAACAGAACTGAAACAGCGTATGGCTGATTACAAGAGCGGAGTGGCTGATTACAAGGCAATTGTTACCGGTGGTGCAAGAGGGATCGGTCATGCAATTACCTCTGCTTTACTAGAGGCGGGTGGAAAGGTACGTAGTATATGTAATGTCATATTATTGTATTATCAGTTAATCCCTTCTTTGACGGTTTGCAAAAGGTACATTCAAGCATTAATTTTACTACTTAATATAACATTGTCATTGATTCGTACTTTGATATTGAAATGCAATAGATGCTTTGGGGACTTGGAAAGTTTGTATACCTGACTATTGTTGCCAAAGCTTTGAATTGAGGCATATGCATGATATATGATTGATGTATACAAGCTCTGAGTGGCAAACGGCAAAAATATGCAATATTTAAAACTAAAAGGTTGTGAGCGATAATTTAATGTATACGTATAAGTATAATTTGCTGGCTTGTGCATGATTCAACTACCTAAAAAATAAATACACTTTGACGCTTTGAACGAAGGTACGTCGCTTGTAAGGCCTTGTAAGTTAGGCATCGTGCTATGGTTGAATAGTTACTAGACAATACTAATTTGAATAAATTACTGATGACATACAGAGCCAATTCAGAGTTACCACTGCACATCCAAATGACGCGTTCTGCGTCGGTGTAAATTGTTGAATAACTTGTTGCAGTTGAATCATACCATGTACGTGTGGTATTCTGCAGCTGTCCAATCACGATTGTGTTCCACAATAGAACTGTCATTTAAGCCTGGTTCACATTGATCGGCGATGTTCTACGATCCATTGTCTGCGAGCAACGAAGAAGAAAATACACAATACATTATATGCATCAATGACCACCGACACTGCGATCGCCGATGTTTACGATCAATGTGAACCAGGCTTAAATAAACTGTCATGCTGCTAGCATAATAAGGAACTTTTTGCATATTCAAATGAGGACATTGAAATTTGAATCCTTTGATATACTGTACAGAGTGTATAAAAAAAACGCAACTTCGGAATTTCCCAAGAAATCGACATTGTTTTAAAGACAAAAGATTTTAGGCGCCTGGGAATTTAAAATAGCACAACTGTCAAAATTACTGCACACGCGAGTGCATAAGGCAAAATTTATACATTTATTTAATGCACAACAACAGTAATATGGTCTATTAGCAATTCGATTTCAATTCCCTGGGGCCTAAAATCTTTTATGCTAAAATCTTTTATGCTAAAATCTTTTAGTGTCACTTTTTTGTGGGACACCCTGTACATATTCCGATTATTCCAGTCTCGGCTACATGTTATAGCACAGATTGGAAATTAACTAGATGTCTCACTCGGCGTCGATCCCTGTGATTTTCATGTCCGCAATGTTCGCCAGCCTGATCACGAATTACGCAAGATGACGAGTGCGACACTGCCATAATGGTGGCGATTGCTGACGCAATGCCACGCAATCGCTGATATGTACTAAGACTGGATAACGCGTCTAATAAAGTGTATTGTTGAAAAGTGAGCCGGAAGTAAATCTGCGACACCCGATTCAAGGGACCCACATAGTTTTCGCGTTTTCAGAAGAATTTTGAGCACAAAATTCTGCTGTGGTGTTAAAATAAGCGTCGTACGTCAGTTCCTATCAACAACCTTATTTAATCCTGGTTGTCATATGTCGCCGACGTCGCAAGACGCTCATTGCCGACCGTCGCCGATATATGAGAACCAGGCTTAAGTATATGTTCTGGTGGCTGCACTCAAGTGAAGATATATGTTTGCGATGTTTATAATAATAGATTTTATTTACCACCTTTGGCAAAAGAATTACAGTGGTATTAACATTGACTGCTTCAAACATGAATTGGCAAGCAGTGTCCCATGCTATAATGAACTAAGAGAGCACTCTGCCCCTGAAGATCTTGATAGGCTTGTGAATATCTACAACACCACCCTCACAAGTATGATAGACAAGTATGCACCACTGACAACCAAAACTGTGAAAGCAAGATCTCAGGTCCCTTGGTATAATCATGACATTACAGCAGCGAAGAGAAAACGGCGCAAGGCAGACCGGATTTGGAGAAAAAGCAAAGCAGAAGATGACTTACTATTGTTCAAAAGGCTGAAAAATCATGTTACGTACATCGGCAATAAGGTGCGCAGAGAGTTCTACGCACAGTTTATCAACGAAAATGGAAATGACCAAAATAGACTGTTTAGAGCAACAAATGCCCTCCTCCACCCGAAGGATGAAGTGTGCTTCCCTGATTACTCTGACGATACATCACTTGCGAATGACATTAGCCATTTTTTCTATAAAAAGGTCATCAATATTCGTAAAAATCTTGACGCTGTGGTTATTGATCAATGTGATAGTTCTCGACTAATAAATGAACCTAAGTTTGGTTTTAATCAAAATCTGGAGAAATTCAAGGTTCTTGTAACTGACATGGTGTCCCAGCTTATTCAGAAATCAGTGAAGAAGAGTTGCGCCCTAGATCCTATGCCTACATCACTCCTGGTCAAGAGCCTAAATGAACTGCTACCTGCCATCACCTGCATGATCAACTCCTCCCTCTCGCTAGGTTATTTTCCCTCTGCTTGGAAATCCACCCTTGTCGATCCAAGGCTCAAGAAAACTGGTCAACCTGCATCGCTATCAAATTTAAGACCAATTAGTAACCTCCAGTTTGTATCTAAACTGACGGAAAGAGCTGTAAGTGACCCACGGGCAATAGGACAGGTGTAGTGTTGTTAAATAAAAAGTTAGAAATGGTATTGTACTTACCCATGTATTATAATTATGTTTAGAAGATCAGAATATTCATAAATTCTTATTTTGTTTCATAAATAGTTCTTTAATATTCGAAACAAATTCCATATCTGCTTCTTCTGCCATTGGGGCGAGTAAACATGGCGGCGGCAGACAAAGTAGATGTGGAATTTGTTTCGAATATTAAAGAACTATTTATGAAACAAAATAAGAATTTATGAATATTCTGATCTTCTAAACATAATTATAATACATGGGTAAGTACAATACCATTTCTAACTTTTTATTTAACAACACTACACCTGTCCTATTGCACGTGAGTGACCAGACACTTGAACACATTAAATGTTTAGATATACCCAATCCTACAATCAGCATATCGACCTGGTCATAGTACGGAAACAGCCTTACTAAAAGTACAATAGTACATAATGACATCATGTGCTCTATGGACCAACAAAGAGTCTCACACTCTCACTACTAGTACTTTTAGACCTGTGTGCTGCATTTGACACTGTAGATCATCAAGTGTTATTACGTCGTCTTGAGGTCAGCTTTGGAATAACAGGTACTGCCCTTAAATGGTTTAAATCCTACTTAACTAACAGATCTCAACGTGTGCTAATAAATGGTAACTACTCCGAAAGTTTCTCTCTCCCTCATGGTGTTCCTCATGTTGTCTCGGTACGTTGCTTTTCACAACCTATACGCAAGCAAGCTATTCGAAATAGTTAAGTGTCACCTGCCAGACGTGCATGCGTATGCTGATGATACTCAATTATACCTTTCTTTTAAGCCGGATGGTGCTACTAATGAGCTTGATGTAATATGTGCACTACAGAATTGTATCAAGGATATCAGGACTTGGATGACAGTTGATAAGCTCAAACTGAATGATGGGAAGACATAGTTTTTAATAATTGGAACTGCTGCTCAGCTCAAAAAGGTTAACATCTCTAGTATTGTCATTGGTTAAGATAATGATCCAGTAGTATCGTGTACCAGAAATCTTGGAGTATGCATGGTTTGATAACAACCTTAATATGTCGCATCACATAAATAAGACTTGTCAATCCGTAATATATCATCTTCATAACATTAGACGTATTCGAAAGTTTTTAAGCTATGAAGATGGAAAGTCTGTGGTACAAGCACTAATAATGTCAAGGATAGACTACTGCAACAGTCTTCTATTTGGTGTCACAGATGTACATCTGTCTAAACTACAACGGATACAAAATACAGCAGCACGTCTTATCTGTTCTATCCCTAAACATGATCACATCACTCCGACTCTTATCAAACTACACTGGCTTCCCGTTCGATTAAGGATCAAGTTCAAAATTGCCATGCTTTTAAATGTATCCATCAGTATGCACCTCTCTATCTTGTCTATCTTTTAAAAGTAAGAAAGACATCGTGCTATAGTCTAAGATTTAACGAAGGCACATTTCTTGAAGACTACAGTACAAAAACAAAGAAAACACTCGGCTACAGAGTATTTGTAACCTCCGCTCCAAAAATCTGGAATGAATTACCTATGTATATTAGAAATCTGCATATATACTTTAGTATTTTCAAGAAATTAGTTTAGACTTATTATTTTGAAGAAGCTTTTAATGTAAATACTTCATGTAACATATAATCTATATAATTATCACTTATTTACTGAGACCGAGGGAAACAGTGTGTTTTGTGGACCCGACAAACATCGACGGTCGAGGGTCCACAAAACACACTGCTTTCCCGAGGTCTCAGTAAATAAGTGTTTATTATATATCAATAGTCAAAGAAACAACAAATTTAAAGAACAAATGAACGTAAATACATGAAATATTTTATTGTTAAAACGTTATTAATATTAAACACTGGCTACACTGCATGTCCAAAGGTCGCATCTTCACGTGATGGCGCACGTGATTTTTTTGTTATTCGCCTGACGATAATGTATTAGGGAGCTTTAGATTTGACTACGAGTACGACTACGAGTACGAGATTCGTCAAGCTAAACGCATGCTGTATGCTTACGCCATCCCGTACTGACGCTAAAAAGTCGTAGCCGTCGCCCATCTGAGTACGAAATTGTGGAGAAACCTCGTAGTCCTCACGACGACTTTTCAAAAAAAAACAAAGAAAGTTGTTTTTTTTTGTTTTCCAAAAATAATTTGTGGCATTTATATAGCGTTTATCCGGCGCAAATTATATATTAGTACTAAATATCTGGCCTGTTTATAATGTTATGACTTATTTACACGTTTTGTAGGGGATTTTAGTCAGCAGGAGATTTAGTTTATGAAACTTTTTCTCTCGTTGTTGATTTACTGTTATAAAAGCAACATTTGAATGGAAACGAGAACGACTACGGTAATTTCCTCGCACGCGATCAAATCTCGTACTCGTAGTCGTACTCGTATAGTCAAATCTAAAGCTCCCTATTATCTCCCTCTCGCGCTGTTGCGAGGGAGACAGCCTAATTTCGTCACTCTCACGTGATATGCTCTCAACCAATAAAACACTAGAAAAATGCGACTTTGACTATTGATATATAATAATCTTCTTTATATATTTTAGTTAGTAACCATTCAGCATAGAATAATTTTAGTGTAATTATGTTTTGTGATGCGCATTTGATCATATGCTATAACATGTTAATTTGCGCAATATAAATATTAAATATTATTATTATTATTATTACAAATTTAAAAAGTATTATTAAAGAGGCAATTTTTTTCAATGTCACGTATTTGCAATGAAAAGTGTTCAAAACCTAAAATCTTTTTGGGGTCCCTCTCAAAATTACTTTGTTTTAGCTTTATTCTCTAGTTTATAGAGTTAGCAACCTTTTTAAATGCATCTGCCGGTTGAGAAACATAAAATAATAGTTAAAAGTTGTTAATTTAAACACAATTATCAATGATGCTTTAAAATTGATGCCATATTTATAGTCATATAAGCAAAACTTACTGAACTTCAGACGTCATTTTCTCTTTGGCGTATCATCTAAAATCTCTTCATTTTGGCATTATTTTACAGATAAAGCACTAAACAAAATGTTTAAGTTTGTTTGCCGATTGAGAAACGTATTAAAAAATAAAAATTTTGAATTTAGTCATAACCTCAAGTGATATATTATACGCGTTAGTTTTGAGCGCGTGTTATACATAACATACAAAAAAATCTCTTCTTAAAAATTTACAACAATATTTTTAAAGATAAATAAACTACTTCATCGACTATAATGTACATTTACTGGAATGAGAGAGGGAGCTATTATGTACTATTTAAAAAGCGAGCAGGAGTGTTTTATTAGGTTTAAAGTCACGAGCGCGCAGCGCGAGTGGCTTTAGACCTAATAAAACACGACCTGTGAGTTTTTTAAATGGCTTCAAAAACGTTTGCATAATAAGTCAAATCTTTATATAAAAATTTTTATATAAAAATCTTTATATAAAAATCTTTATATAAAAATCTTTATATAAAAATCTTTATATAGTTTTTATAACAATGGTCTTTCGTTATAAAGACGTATGCACGTGACTAATTTCATACTCAAGATTGGATAATTGCTTCATGAATTATTAATGAGTTTTTGAACTATATATACAAGTAAGACTATTTTAGTTAACTATGTTGGTAAAATAGTTCAACCAAGCAGTTCTCGGTATGAATGATTGTTTATGTCTATCTGTAAATGACTTATTGGTACCAAAAGTGGGTTACAATTAACCTGTCCTTAAATTATATTCATGTGCGTTTGTTCTACAAATCAATCTTTTACATGGGTAATTTTCTGAATTTTGGATATTATCATATTATTTACTTGTTAAAATAGTTTCTTCTTGACGCAAGCGACTCAATTTTATTTCTCGGTAAGCCAATGATGAATATCTAGTCAGCGATTTTGTACTCTTTAGATATCCTCCTTTAGGTAATATGGTAAACCAGCCCAGATTGGTGCCGCATATTCCAGTATGGGTCATATCTTTGTGCAATAGGTTGTTAGCCCAATATTGTTTGGGAGATTTGCTTTCCTACAGGCCCTCACGAAATAGATTCTTTTACTTGCCTTCTTAACGATATCTAGTACATGTGACTTCCATTTAAGGTCGTTTTGCATGGTAAAACCCCAAAGAGCTTGAATTTTGTGACTCCATAATTTCGTTGCCTATACTAATGCTTGGGGGAGCTGGGCTTGATCTCGTAAATCCTATCCACATATCTTTTGTCTTACCTTTATTCAACTCCATTTTATTTTACTCTGCATGAGTGCACCGGCCAAACTTAAAAGTTTGCATGCTTGTCCGCGCGGTGGGAATAAAACCCGCGAGCTTTGGTTTGCTAGCCAACGCTCCATCAACTGTGCTACAAGGTCAAGAGCATTGGACTAGCAAACCAAAAGTCGCGAGTGATTCTCACCGCGGTCAAGCAAACTTTTCAGCAGTTGCACGGTGTGGACTGACGCTCAGAGTAACATCACAAACATTCAGGTTTAACTAATTGTGTATTACTGTCCACAGGTTTGCTTTTTCGATGTTTCGGCTTCGGAAGGAGAGAAGGCACAGAAAAGTTTTGATGAAAAATATGGCAGTGGAAAAGCTGTGTTCCTGAAGTGTGATGTTTCAAAAAAGAACGAACTACATGGTAATTTTACGAACGTATAGTTTGCTTATGTTGGTAAAACAAGCGGGAAATTAAATTTTGTAAATGACCCGAGTTTTCAGATTGGGATTAGCCAAAAGCTGAACAATAAAATTTTTGTGTTTCGAATCCAATATGTAAATTACCTGAATTACTTGCTCATCAATTACACTGCCCGTGAAAAGAATCAGTTTTCATAAATAGGCCTTTTCCCGTTGTCGGTGTCGCATACTATTTTTTACAGGTTGACCCGGCACGTAAAATCTTGCGTCCCCGTTTACATCTATATATAGAATAATTAAAATTTTAAAAAGGATGCCTTTTGGATAATAGAAGGCATATATACCTGCGTCTTATATATACTTACTTATACGTGGATTTCACTGTTATTGATAACTCTTCATTACCAGAAATTTAGGACGCATTTGTTCCACATTGAATAAATTAGCTCATTGATTAAAGCTGGTGCCGTGACGTTTGCTATTAAGCTACATCCAGCACAAAAATTTTCGAATAACATACAAATATAACAATTCTGATTTGCCGCAACCGTGACCATAGATTAGGAAATGAATAGATGGCTCACTCCTTTGATGTTTTTGACGCCGCTGGCACCCACGCATGTTCTTGGCAGAGCTATGGCGGCCTATAGCAAGAACTATAATAAAATGTATTGTGAAATTAACATCCGTTCTACTAAATCCTGTATTTTTCCGCTTTCGGGGGTTTTAATGGAAAAATAAATCGGGATTTAGTAGCACCCGGTGTCGATTTCACAATGCATTTTACTACAGTTACTTGCTAGGCCGCCATTACTCTGGCAAGAACATGCGTGGGTGCCGGCGGCGTCAAAAACATCAAAGGAGTGAGCCATCTATTCATTTTCTAATCTATGCCGTGACATCAAGAGAAATTCTTATTGAATTATTGAAATAAAATTTACGCCAGTTGGTTTTGAACATGTTTTCTGCCAACTGCAATTTGATAAATTCTCTATACCGCCTAATTTGATAAATTATCTTTACCGTATATAAAGGTTGTCCTTTGCAAACCTTAAACTCTAAAACCTTAAACCTTAAATTCTAAGCGCGCAAAGCATGATGGGAGCACGATTTAAGCAGTTTAGAAAGCATATATGAAGCCCATTTCTTAATTAGAGACATGGTAAATATCTCCTTGCGAAAACATTTCACTCACAAACAGCTACAATATTCAACTACTATATAAGCTTGAAATCACTGCTCCCATTATGCTTTGTGTGCTTAGAGTTTAAGGTTTAGAGTTTAAGGTTTGCAACGGACCACCTTTTTTGAGTTAGCTGTATATATATATATATATATATATATATATATATATATATATATATATATATATATATATATATATATATATATATATATATATATATATATTTCAGATGCATTTCATCAAGCAAAATCTCAAATGCGTGGTTTGAACGTGGTGTGCAACAATGCTGGAGTGATGGTCCACACAGACGAAAGTTCTCATTCTGATGAATTGATTTCTATTAATCTGGTAAGTAGTTCATGTTCTTTTGCTATAATATCAAGTATATCAACACTCAATGAATTTCCCCAACTTATCCTACCCTCCTCCGCAGACATCCTTTTTTTCTCGTTTTATTTACATTTACACGACGATCATGAAGAGCTGTAAAATGAGAGCTGAAATGTGCCTATTTTTCACTGGAAAAATAGGATTTGGACTACTGCGAAACGGAATGGTATTTGACTCTGGGAATGAGACTGCATGGCAATCAGAGAAAATATTAGCTGGGGTAGTGGGACTAAATTGCACTTCACGACCTGCATGGAACTGCGTTTGTAAGAAAGCATAAAGTATAGAACAAAGGGACGTAATAGTAATTTTTAGGAATAACCGCGAGCTATGACACGTGTAGATAATTCTAATGCTTTGTTACGTTTGCTCTATTTTACATTTCTGTAAGGTCGAGAAATAGTTACTATACAGCGTGGCATATTTCAATAAATATGGGATTTGGGGCATCTCACTCGATATAACTAATTACCGCAAGGTTTTGTAGATGGAAATTTCGAGTGTATATTTTATACATTTATTATACATTTATTATAGGCTTAAACAAGAGCATGCAGTTAGGGACTGCATGGTCATAAAGTAACTGCTATAGGGTGGGCTGGAGGTAAATCAGAAATTTTGCCAATAAGTTCGGTGACCCATTTTAGGATGTAGATAAAAATATCAAAGCCCATCTAATCTTACAAAAAAATTTTCATGACCCACCCAATCTAAATTGGGCAAATACACTTTTATAATAAAAAAAACTTGCAGGTATATTGTAAATATACACCGGCACTGTATTGACATACGTAATTTCACCAAGCTTGACCAACATATTTATCACCAATTACGATATTGAGCTGTTCTCCAGTTGGTTGTATTTGCTGTGATAATTCGACCACTTCTTGTTGTATAAACAAAGTACTGACTTCAATAGCATCATTTGCATTTGATAATTCGGATAGTTTTGTTTACTTTTATTATTAATATTTTTATTTTTTGAAGTAGACATGCATGGGTTTTTGTTTGGTGGCCCAACCGTGGACATACAAAAAATTTGGCGGCCTATCGAAACTCTCCAAAGATTTTCCATGGCCCATCCCAAATCACTCCAGCCCTGCACCCTAGCATTTACTTTATGACCGGTCCCTTACGGGAAATGCAACTACATTGGTACAACTGAAATGGACCTGTGGTCCAGCAGGCGATTCCGGTGCAGCGCAATATTGTTTCTGTTCAGTGTTCACGCTTCCAGACATGGCGAAAAATTAACCAAAGCTAGCGCCAGTGCCGAACCTGCTGTTTTGTTGTGATATGTTAGTATATATATATATATATATATATATATATATATATATATATATATCTGTTTTGTTGTGATATGTTAGTATATATATATATATATATATATATATATATATATATATATATATATATATATATATATATATATATATATATATATATATATATATATATACTAAATTGAACGTTGTTTATACACCTCATTCCAAATATAAGCCCCCCGAATATAAGTCTACCTGAATATAAGCCCCCCAAATATAAGTCCCCCGAATATATAACATTATATAAGCCCAGTAGCCCACTACGTTACTCACCATTGACATTGTCTTTTAATATAGCAGAGAACTGTTTTTGAACAGATGACAATATTTAAAAACATTGTCTTTATAGCCCACTATGTGAATCAAAACGCGTTACTGAATACATGTTTATTTTCCTGTTTATGACTGACTTGTTTATGTCTGACTTGTTTATATAACACAAAAAATCGTCCATGTATATATAAGCCCCCCCCCCCCGTATATAAGCTCACCCTTGTATAAGCCCATCAAAAATCGCTTACGAAAGTATATAAGCCCAGGGCTTATAGTCGGAGGTTTACGGTAGCCTATAAATAAACGTTATATCTACAACTTTGTCTATATGTTACATTTCAGGGCGGTGTTATTAATGGCAGCATGCTAGCTCTTGAATTAATGGGAAGAGGTTATGGAGGAAATGGTGGCGTCATTATTAATACAGCTTCACTTCTAGGTATATACTTCTTAAAGTTAGGTTTGTTTTGTTTTGTTTAAAGGAGGTCACGCGGGACGTGCATATTTGGTTTAAATTCATCTAAGCGGCTATGATATTTGCAGGAAAAAATTAACATTGGAGAAAGTACTGTACAACGCGGTATATGTAGACACATATAGATATGATGAGTCGCGTCGTAGTTTTTCATTTCACCAATGAACGTCTAGGAAAGACTTTTTCAACTTAGCCGCTTGGACAGACCACGTGGTAATTATACTCAAAACCCTATCCAAAATTACGCCATGCAGTCTCCATTTTGTGGAGACTAGAAATAGGAATGCACATTCTTCGTCTATTACTTCTATGACATTCCTATTACAGTTGATTTCGCTTATTTCGCGATTATTTATAGAATATTTAGAGTTTAAAGGTACTGTATTTATCTTTCAGGTTTATCAGTAATACATCCACAGGCTGCTATTTACAGTTCTACAAAGGCTGGTATCATTCATTTTACACGATGTATTGCACAGGTTTGTATTTTTTGGAGGTTTACATTTTACACGATGTATTATTGTGCATGATTGCTCGACTGTCTCCACAATTAACTCGGCTGGATACAGAGAGAAATATACAGAAATTCATTTAGTTCGGTGTACTCGTGCTGTTCTATATATATATACAAAATATGCAGCGCAATCAATTCCTTCAGATTTAAAAGATAAAGATAAGGTATGCTCAAATGACTTAGATTCTTGCACTTCACTTGGTGGAATTAATATTAGGATGTTCAGTAGGTTTGTAATCCAAGTGAGAATATATACATTTTAAAGGCAGGTATAAAAGTCGGACCGGATTGTGGTCCGGGTCGGATCAGGTCGGACCAAGTCGGATTAGGTCGGATCTTTAGAAAATTTAGAAATATCAGGATATTCAGGGAAATGTTACTTACACAAATGGAAGTTTGCATTCTTTCCCGCGTTATTTACACAGCGTTAAACAGCGTGGCAAATTTGCAAAATGGATGGCGACGAAGGTAAAACATTTTATGTTATTAGATTTTTAGACCACTTTTTTGAAAATTATTGCATCGAACTGCCTTATCAATATTTTATTTCCTTTAATTCCGGACTGGCGATTCGGTCATCTATGGATCCGGTCCGACTTTTGTACCTGCACGATCCGACCCGGACCACAATCGGGTCCGACTTTTATACCTGCACGATCCGACCTGATCCGGACTGGCGATCCGGTCCGACTATTATACCTGCCTACATTTTAAGACCTAACCAGGAACGACTGCGAAAAATGCAGCACAAGGTCCTCTGGTAGGAAACGAACCTACGGCCCTGCGATTCCGGAGCAGCGCTCTAACCAACTGAGCTACAGAGGCCAGCTGTTGAGCTGTAACCGTAAGTCCATGTATATCATAGATTAAGTAAGAACAGATGTGTAACTTCAGTAAAAAAGTTGTCCCACGGTCGCCATCTTCCTAGCAAGTGTCGCAAATTGCGAGGACACTATATATTGGACATATTTACAATGCAAATATATGATAATCATATTATAATGTTAAAAAATATAAGTATATTTATTGAGGGTATATAGGTATATGAATATTCAGAGTAGAAATATGAATATTTGATACGAAACTTGAATGAATATTCTCCTCCCTTGTTCGCGGTCTCGGGCCGTTTAGCTTAAACGGTGGTTAGGCTCAAAATAGAAAGCAAGTCTATATATATATAGATTCATTCAACAACTAAACTAAAAGTTTTGAACCTTAATAGAACGATATTGTTTACAACGACATATTCAGTGCAGAATATTTAAGTTAACTGATTCACGAGAGATATATAAGAATGTTATTTAATTTTGACTTATGCACCGTTTAAGCTGAACGCGGGCTTGATATACAACCGGTCCCAGGTATTTTGGTATTTTGGAATATTGTAGGTCAAATATTGAACAATGCAGGTATAGGATTATTGAATGTTGAAGTAACAATATTTCGGTCCGCCTCCACTCCCAAATAACTGAAAAATAGTTACTATTTACTGATTAGTGATTACAACACTTTTTTGTTTGGAATATAGAGTTTCATATGGGTGAGCACCGTCGTATACATACATGAAACTATATCGTTCATATTGAGAGGTTGTGGTTAAAGATCACCTCAAAATTCTCGAAGTTTATAATTCGTCACTTCAAATGATTTAATTAAGAGGGACTCAGGTCGCATTTTATTTCAAATTTGGTACATCATTTTCTTACTTTTCCCTTGTACCCTTGGTAGTCTCAATCAATAACTATACAGGGTGTATCAAAATAAACGCAATTCATCTTTTGTGCTTAATAACTTTCGAAATACTATTTCTAGTTAAACGCTTTTAGGCTTACTTCAAAGCCTGTTCTTTTCTCTTTCAAACAAACTATTATCCGTGTCTCCAATGCTAGTAATAATTGCACAGGAAAAGATTTAGTAAAACCTATCATTTTTAGTTGCTGTTTAATTATGCAAGTTTACTATGTTATTGTTTAGTCGGTTTAAATGTTAGAATTTTCTTCTTTAAACTTTAATGTTGTCGTCACTACATCTGGAAAACCACGTATAAGAACAAATTAAAAGTATTTTAAAAGAGACCAGGTTGTTTGAAAATCCTAAACGAATGCGAAAAATCGTCAAAACATTCTGGTGTCTGAACCAGAGTTTCATCGAATTGCGATGTAATGTAAACAGAAATTATAGCAAGTTGATGTCAGTCAGCTTAGATGGTCCAAGCCAAAATTATATCGCATTTGAAGTTTCAAACTGAGTTAAAAATAGTGGAAGAAAAGCCGTAATTATACTTATTGTTACAATCCATTTAATAGAAATGCAACATTTTTTTTGTTTTAATGAAAAAATCAGTTATTTTCATGAGAACGTTTAGTTATTCCATCTCAATTTTTTTAATTTCCAATCGCAATAACGTAAAGTATTATTACCCGCGAACCAATGAATCAAATTTAAGAAACAACCCACTGTTAGAAAGCGGAATGGCTACGCTTTAAAATGAATGTAAACTTTAACGTTTTCGTCCATTATTTGTTTAGCAATTTACATTTCAGTCAAGGATTGCGCTTTTTTTGATACACCCTGTATATGTCACCAACTACTGCACACGTAAAAATGCACAAGTTGTAACAAACCTGCAGCAGACTTGTAGCAATGCTGTTCCAACAATTTGTCAACAGGTTGTGTTCGCACTGCTTGTTCCCAGCTTGTTGACAAGTTGTCAACCGCTTGTTGACAACTTGCTACAAGGTTGTTGAGCTCAACAGACTAATTGTTGCAAGTTATAATGTTCCAACAATTTGTTATCGTCTTGCAATTCAACAATCAATTTGTCAACAAGTTGTGAGGGACAACCTTGTAGAAAATTGATAAAATAGCAGCATTGTTACAACGTGTTAACAAGCATGCTACAAGCCTGTTGCGAACACATCTTGTTGACAAGTTGTGAGATTTCTACGTGTGTAGCCTACTTTTCAGACATCACCACGTGATCATGGTGTGAGAGTGAATTGCATATGTCCTCACGCCGTTTACACTAACATGACGACGTCACTTCTTAATGATACATGGGAAGGGAGATTGAAACCTGCTCAAGAAATTGCCGATTATATGCCGAAAAATGACGACGAAGCGCGCGAGATGTACTTAAAGTAAGTTCAATTGCATGTTTGTAACTTTTGATGAGTTAGTCTGACGAAGATTGTTTTTCCTTGAACGCCTGGTGACCTTCTTACAATGCCTACACCAATTCTTTTTTTCCTAGAACGACAGACATTAGCAATGAAGTGATGAAACTCATAAATGATGAGTCAAAAAACGGTCAAGTGTTAGCTATCACAAAGAATCCGGATGATCGCACGCAGGTGAAGGTTGAAAACGTCGAGTTGAAATAATTGACGTTATATATACATTATATGAAGTTGAAAATTCTTATAATGTTTCATTTGACGAAAGGCGAATAAAATCCATCTTCGTAGAACGGCTTCTGGAAGCTGTAGTCATTAATTTTATCATCTAGTTAGTAAGTCACCGATTGTTAATTGAGAGGGCCAGTTAATTCATAAAATTGTTCACTATATATGATTATAGCTATCGTATTGAATTTATCAATGTTATACCAGGTGCAAATATAAGGAGCATATATCCAGCCTTTTCAATTCGGGGTTTCGTAACTTAGGGCATAAATAACAGAATGCAGTGGGGACTGGGGAAGCAATATTTATTCTAAAGTTATTCTTTCAAAATCGGAATACTTTTTTCGTGCTTACAGGACAACCTTAATTGAATTTGGTGTATACACGAATGCACTATTGCATCATTTAAAATTATTTGTGAAACAAAGGTCCTAATAGTTGTGAATTAACTCAATTAAGTTAAGAAAATATTGATTCATAGCAACGAAGGGAAATTTATACAAATCAGGAGACAGCAAAATCGGTGATTGCCACCGGCAATACACCCTTTTGGAAAGCACGTCACTTTGGTTTAGAGCCTTGTTTTCGCGTATGCCACATTCTACTTCCATTTGCTTATTAGCGCAAATCACAATGCCAGTTCGTGAGTAACGTACACTTGTCAGTTATGTTTCTCAAATGTGCATGTCTGGTATTATATAATACAATTTAGGTCTTCTCTGTACGTTACAGATTAACAGTCTATATATGATAGATCTAAGATGACGGAGCACAAACTTTATATTATGTGATAATGGCGCGTTTTGAATAAACGCAAATAACGCGTTTATTTTGAGTGATTTCCCAAGCTTATCGTTGCGGTGATAGGTGATAGTCAAGTAAAACCCAACATGTACAAAGACTTTTTATAATATAGCATTTGTAAATTCTGAACGCTGATTGGCCAAGAGCCGTGTTGATAACTCAATAGACCTTAAGCAAGTACGACGACGACAGCCAAAACAAACTTCAAATAAATTATTGTGAAGAAGAGTTATTGTGTATTATCCACTGCATGTATATATGAATTGAGTTCAGTTTGAAGAAATTAAAACAAAGGCTTTATGGTTAAAAACGCTTCTGCTGAGCAAATTTGTAGTTTCACTTGTCGCGTCTTGACATGTTTGCGTTGTACACGAGACGTGAAAATCTCTGGTTTGCCGTTGTAAAAAGCACTAACACAACGTCTGTAACTCCCGTGGGGCTTTTAATTATTCATTCCTTTTGTACGAGATCAGGAATATCATTGTGTGAATAGCTGTCGTTGTCGCGTTGCCGTCCTGTTTGCTTAAGGTCCCTGATGTCAACACGGAAACGTCGGAAAATTTCTTTCTTTATATTTCTTTGTGCTATATTACGAAACAAATATAAAACATTTTTTCCGTATTGATATATATTTAACAAATACAAAACATTTTCCGTGTTGATATACAGTTATATCAACACGAGTGGAAATTGGCAAAACGAGAAATTGTGTGGAAAGACGACGCCCGAAGGGCGGAGTGTTTTCACACAATTTCGAGTTTTCCCAACTTCCACGAGTGTTGATATAACGATATATCAATACGGAAAAATGTTTTATATTTTTTTTATAATATAGCAATGTCAAAAGCCCGAAGAATAAGAAAAATTTCCGTGTTTACAAGCGACGGAAAATTTCCCGTGTTGACATGGAGTTATATCAACACGGCTCTTAGCCAATCAGCGCTCAGAATTTACAAATACTATATTATAAATAGTTATATCATGCAACACTCGTGGAAATTGGGAAAACTCGAAATTGTGTGAAAACACTCCGCCCTTCGGGCGTCGTCACACAATTTCTCGTTTTCCCAATTTCCACTCGTGTTGATATAACTGTACAGGGTGTATCAATAAAAAACTACACAGATTTGAAATTTGCTCTTAAATTCGCAAAACAGCTATTAGTATCCATTTTTTATGTATATAGCTTCTTTGGGTACTTATAATGTAGAAAAATGGAAAAAAGTTCTCGAACTCAAATTTTGTGAACCAGGGGTGTGTGTCTTTTCCAAGAAACTAAAAATGACTTGCGCACGAAATTTAAAAGCTTTAATCATATTTTAAGTTAACAGATAGAAAGTTTGTTGGGTGTTTAATTACTGTACAAAATTGCAGACAATTTGCTTCAGTTTACGCCTTTAACCATTCACGCAAACTTACATTTTTTCTTAAAAAATCACCATTTGCATGCTAATCGATGCCTTTGCCTAATTTGCATATGTCGGCAATATGCAAATTGTTTATTGTTTATTGACATTATTGACACTCCCCTGAAGGGGCTTTTCAGTGACAAAAATTACAAACACATAAACTTACTGTATTATTACTACATTTAATCCTAATTAATTTTATTGAAATACATTACTAGCAAACAAGGACAATTTCACAAAAACTGCGACAGGGACATCAACAACAACAAGAACCACAACAACAGCGATGATGATAACATAACAACAGTAACATCGACAACGCTTATTGATTAACTACTGAAAAACAAGTACTTAATGACTATCCAGGAATTGCTGGAGAAGTTTATGTCTTAGTTTAAACTTAAAGTTTGAAATAGAATTGCACCGACTTAAGTCAGGGCTAATGTTGCTCCAAAGAGTGACAGTTCGGTAATGGAATGTTCTTTGTCCAGCAGCTGTTTTGTACAATGGAACATCCAGACTTCGTACATTTCGTGTCTCACGAGAGCTCACTTCATCTCTGGTTATTAACTGGGACGACAAGTAGTTGGGGGCACAATTGTTCATGCATTTGAAGGCCAGTAGAGCATCACGATAGTAGAGATGCAATTTCACGGGAAGCCACTGTATTTCCTTTAGAATTACTATTATTATTATTACAATATTGCCTGCTCCCAAAAGGGCTTTTCATCAGGTAATTACAAATCATTTATATACTACAAACAATATATATATATATACACCCACAAACATACGTACATACATACAAACACAAATTAAAAATTGTATAATTATTAGTAATGTCACTTTAAAAATGATTAACTACTTCCTAATAAAATCCATACAGTAAAAACGTTTATATTCTAATTTAAACAAGTCCAAATTGTCTAAAACTATTAACTACTTTCTAAAAATCCGGAATCGGGGTGATGTGGTCGAACTTTCTTGTATTCGTCACTACTCGTGCTGCGAAATTCTGGACCCCTTGAAGGCGGGATAGGTTACTGCTGGAAGTGTTGGCCAAAGTGAAGAACAATAGTAGAGCTTGCTGAAAACCAAAACATTGATTACAGTTACTAACAGATTTTTATTGAAGGCGTGTTTAGCTCGATTTATCTGACAGAGGCTTGATTTGCAGGACCAGACGGTGGAAAGGATATAGTTGTCGAAGGAGAGGATTGGGTCAAACATAACTCCCAGATCTTTGACTGTTGCAGCAGGTGTTAGTTCTTTACCGAGTAGTGAGAGTCTAAATTCAGGTAGCCTTGCGAGCATTTGACGACTTCCGTAGACCATCAATTTGATCCTGCCTGGGTTGAGCAAGAGCAAGTTGTCGAAACACCAATTTCGAATTCTAATTAAGTCTTCATTCAGATCAACCAGAGCAGCATTAGAGTCATTGATATGGAAGGACAGAAGGAGTTTAGTATCGTCAACATACGATTCAAAGGAACACGTTTTAGTGGCAGACGGTAGATCATTGACATAAATACTGAATAGCAACGGACCGAGAATACTTCCTTGTGGGACACCACTAACCACTGAAAATTTCTCAGATAGAGTAGAATTTATGCGTACTGCTTGATATCTTTCGCTCAGATAACTTCTAAACCAAGTCAGGCATGAAGATGAAACGCCAACATCCTCCAATTTAGCAAGAAGTATATTGTGATTAATGCTGTCAAAAGCTTTACTCATGTCTAAAAGAATAACTGCTGTGACTTTCTTCTGGTCGATTTCTTTGAGAATGGAGCCGGTGGAATGGATGAGGGAGGTTTCCGTTGAGTGCCAGGTTTTGTTGCCACTCTGATGCAGAGAGAGACGACGATTGATGGTTAGGTAGGAGGTTAGTTGATTGAGTGCTACTCTCTCGCATACCTTAGAAAGAACGGGTGGGAGGGAAATTGGTCTGTTGTTATTGGCTTGCTCATGACCACCTTCTTTCAGAATGAGGATTACTTCAGCAATTTTCCAAGCACTTGGAAAAATATTGTTGACTAACGATTTGTTTATGATGGACGTAATCCATGGTGCAATAACGGGAAGACAGTCCTTGATAACGCGAATAGGTACTTTATCTATTCCTGGTGCCTTGTTATCAGGCATTGATTTCACAGTATATTCTACTAAGGAACATTCCACAGGTTCAAAGGCAAACTGATCCGACTCGGTGTAACTGGTTGGGACAAATGGTAATTGGGAGGGAGTGTAATTATTTTCTTTAGCAAGTGATTTAATTTTCATGACAGTGTTTGAACCGACAGCTGTAAAAAATTCGTTAAAGTTATTTGCGACAGATTTATCATCATTACTGAATGACTTCTTTCCAGTAGTTTTCTTGGGAATACATTAGGTAAAGGCATTAATTAAGCATGCGAAAGGCTAATTTTTTAGAGAAAAATGAATTGTTAAAGGGCTTAAACTAAAGCAAATTGTCTGAAATTTTGTACAGTAATTAAAAACCCAATAAATATTCCATCTATCAACTCAAAATACGATTAAAGCTTTTAAATTTCGTGCGCAAGCCATTTAGTTTGTTGGAAAAGACACCCCCGCCTGGTTTACAAAATTTGAGTTCGAGAAATTTTTTCCATTTTTCTACATTATAAGTACCCAAAGAAGCTATATACATAAAAAACTAGATACTAATAGCTGTTTTTCGAGAGCAATTTCAAATCTGTGCAGTTTTTTTTATACACCCTGTATATCAACACGGAAAATGTTTTATATTTGTTAAACATAATATATATTCACGAGTTTCATGTTAATATGTCAATACGCTCTAAGGCGCATTTGCTACTAAAGATATATTAATCTCGAACGATCTGTGCAGTCAGTAGGTGAGACCAGACGATAGTAAGATAACTGCGGATTGCGAGAGATACAACCACCTGGAAAATGAAAGCAGAACTTCGTCGAAGTGAAGTGACATTATCTGCAGCGGACGAAATTGCGCATCATGTAATATCAATGTAATGTGCATGCGATCCTGTTGATCCAACGCGGACGATGGAGAGCGGATGTCTAGCTGCGAGCTCTGACAATTTTGAGAATGTTCTTCGAGATTTAACAGTAAGCGATAAAGGAAAGTTCAAATGGAGCGGCACGTTCGAAAATTTAGAAATTATGATGAACAATATACTTGAGAAACAGACAGTATGGAATTCATCCAGCGGAGATTGCAAGAAGCTGGAGCTTGACGACCTATGTGTGAGATGGTATATGAAGAACAAATCGTTGACTATAAACGGAGAGGGAAGCGAAGATCTAAAGTCGCAGTTGAAAGCAGTTGTATATATGTGTGGTGGAATCTGATGCTGCAGCGAGTCAACAACCCATTGTTAGCGAAGTCGTGGAGAGTGACGACGAACCCGAATGTGAGAGTGTATTAAGGCCGGCGCACACTGGAGCTATGTGCTTAGCCAAATTTCATTCGTGCCCATTCGTGCCCAAAATGAATTGCTGGCCGAGGCAATTTTGCGCCGCCATCTTGGATGTTTACTTTCGTATACTACGCATGCGCTGTTAAGACAATCCGTAAGCAAAAGGCTTTCGTTCGCCGCACACGGAAAGATTTTGGCACGCGAGGCAGAAATTATCAAACATGTTTGATATTTGGCGTAAGTGGCACGAATGACAAAAGTTGTTCGTAAATCGCCCGCACACGAGAGCTATCTCCTTACGCCAATGGGCACGAATGAAATTTGGCTAAGCACATAGCTCCAGTGTGCGCCGGCCTTTACTTACTAATACCCTTGAGAACACTGCCACCCAACCATGAACCCAACGATGCATCATTAAATGCATCGAAAATACTTCATTAAAAAAACAAAACATGGTGCTCGCTGAACAAGTTAATGGCTATAAAATGATGATATCGGATTTGAACACGAAGATAAAAGATTTGGACAACGAGAAGAACAGCTTAGTTTCAGCGATAAAGATTTTACAGGAAGGTCAAAAATGTGAAGAGACCGGACCATTGAATGCTGTTAAAAGACAAATTGCTAATTCCCCAGCGACAAAAAAACAATTCAAGCAGAGCGGTATGCACTATCGGTATATACAAACTCAGAATCGCTACTCTATTTTAAGTGAAACCGATAACGACGGCGAAGACACTTTAACGAGCCAAAAGAGATCTGAGAGTGGAATAACTCCAGTTGCAAAGGACACCGTAATTGTAACACAAAACTCGGGAACGGAAAACAGTAAAGACACGGATTACAGGTCATCAGAAATTGTCCTTATTGGGGATTCCATCATTAAAATATTGACCCAAAAAAGCTTGCAAAGAGGAAAGTGAGCAAATACACGTATCCGGGGATATCTGCAGAACAATCAAAGTCAATTCGACGCCCTCGCACATAATTATTCACGCTGGGACAAATAATATACCAGCTGATTCAGCTGAGATTGTGTGAAGAAAATTGAAAGCCTTGTTCTTAAAACCAAATCCAAATTTCCAGATTCAAAAATTGGAGAATCGGGAATCACGATGAGACAAGATATCGAAGTGGGGCAAAATATCAAACAAGTCAACAAAAACTGGAGGATTTATCTAAAAATCATAACGTCTCGTTTATTGACAATTCCGGCATCAACAACACATGTTTGAATGGCGGTAAGCTGCATCTAAATCCTAAAGGTTCTGCATTTTTAGCAACTAATTTTATTAGATTCCTCAAAGGTGAACAACATGTTAGTCCAAGAAGACCACGTAGAAGTTCCACAGAGGATTTTCATGCCATAGCGAACCAACTGCTGATGACGTTACTAGCAGGGACCTCTCGATCGAACACTACGTTAACAAGGTGTGATCCGGATCCAGGTATCTGTGACAATCTGTTGCGTGACATAACTAAATCGAAAGGTATAAAGATTGCTAGCTTGAATATCAATAGTTTATTAAAGCATATAGATGAAATAAGAGTACTTCTTACAGAGTACACCTTTGATATTCTTGCTATCAATGAATCAAAAATAGATAACAGTATATCTGATAATGAATTACATATATTTGGGTATGATATTATTCGGAAAGACCGTAATAGATATGGAGGTGGTGTGGTTTTATATGTCCGTGATAACATACCATTCTCGGAAAGGAAAGATCTAATGTCGAAAGATCTTGAGATGGTATGTATTGAAATTAATAGGCCATACAAGTCATACAACAAATCACTTTTAATTAATGCGTGGTATAGACCACAAAACTCAGATATAAATTTCCTTGATGAGTATGCGGAATTTTTATGCAAATGTGAGGCTGAAAACAAAGAGTTAATCGTCTTAGGAGATTTGAATTGTGATGTTAGTAAAACTCCGCTCGATAATCAAACACGAAAATTACAATTCCTATGTTCTCTTTATCAGTTTGATCAACTTATCAGTGAGCCAACGAGAGTTACACCAACATCAGCTTCTTTAATTAATTTTAACTAACAAAGCAGAAAATATATCCCAGTCTGGTGTTGTTCACCTTGGGATATCTGATCACAGTCTGATTTTTGCTAGATATCTGATCACAGTCTGATTTTGATCACAGGCTGATTTTTAGTGTGAAGTTTCTTCGAAACTTCACAGTATTGTGATGACTGGGGGGGGAATTCACACGAATCAGTCAGTCAGTCATTCATTCATTCATTCAGTCATACAGTAAACTTTCCGGGGGGTGTATACGATATATGTTCGTAGTGATTTATCGTACTTAGTCAGTGCTTTGAAGGTTATTTAGGCAATTTCAGTTAACTTATTTACATATTCTGTTATCCTTTTGCCAAGTTCACAAAAATATCGAGGAATCGCTTTCGTTATTGTAATTTTTTGTAAATTTTAGAACATTCGCTTCTCATGTTGTGTAAAGGATCTTTACCCCGGAACACCCGATTTTTCTTTAGTAGCGCAAATGCGCATGCGCTATCAAGCCGTAGATCACGATGGCGTGACGATATGCAAGGAAGGAGTGACAGTGTAGTTTTCAGATGTATAAACATTTCAGACGTGAATATTGAGTAAATCTTTGAAAATCTACGCAAAATATAAATTGATCTTATGCATTACGGGCGTTCAATTAAGTTCCGATAATATTTAGACGGTATATTCGTTATACAGAGCTAGGAAGGAGTTAGACCGCCTAGACAGTGCAGTCAAGTGTATAAACATTTCAGACGTAAATATTGTTATATTGAGTCGAAAATCTTTGAGATTCTAGGCATTCAATTGAGTGCCGATATTATTTTCACGGCATACTCATTATACAGAGGTACAGTACGTAGGCAGAAGCGAGACAGTGTTGTTTTCAAGTATATAAACATTTCAGACATGAATATTGAGAAAATGTTTGAGATTCTACGCAATAATACAATATATAAATTTATGTTATGCATTACAGGCATCAATTAATATGTAAGTGCCCATCGATATTATTTAGACCGTGTACTGATTCATTATACATTGTCATCGACTGTATAAGGTGCTACATCACAGAATAGATGGCTACACTCAGTACAAAGAACGAAAAATTGCATCAGATCTGTACCAGACAATAAAGTATAAACAACTATTAAACGGGTAAACGTTTGTACGGCGTTTACGAGGAAAATAACTTGCGAGACTAAAGAAATCAGTTGAGTCAGAGCTCCTTATTTAAATAAGAAAGACGAGGAGATAGCCAATGTGTTATCGCCAACGTGTTATCGCCAATCGCTTGGCTCGCCAACAAGCTTTATGCAATAGAAGAAAAAAGCAAGGAGGTACATGTAACCAACGTGTACTGTCACGGACCTTGTTTACTGTCTAGCACAACGCCGTTGTCAACGGTGCAAGCTCGTGTTCAGTGCAACGATAAACTCTACCAGATCTTACGAGAATCAATCGGTAGTATTCTGTACACAGAACTGTATCAAAGCTTGTCAAACCTGCTTTAATTTAAACACTGCTTAACCACAGTATATGAAAACTACAGTAGGGCCACTCAGTGTAAAAAAGTGTCCACATTGTTTACTGGCTGCCAACCTAATTTACATATTGGCAGCCAGTAAATGGCAGCAGTTCACTATAAAATTGTATTACAGAGTAATGAGTTTAGCCGCGTAAAACACCTGGGACCTAGCTTAAATAATTCCCACTTTTCTCTCCCCTAAGTGGCCCTACTGGTTGTCTCCCTATACTGTGGCTTAACTGTGAAACTATTGAAATCTAAAGTGACATTAATGTATTCAACACATGCGAAAAGCTGAAAATAGACGTGACACTGGGAAAAGTCAAAGGTCAATGAGACTTGTTATTGTGAAACATGTCACAATTAGGTTAAAATGCGGAAGCGGATGGAGCGGGTCCACGGAACGAATATGCGGACAAAATACGGAACGGATGAGGATAAAATGCGTCCTGATGTAACGACGTAGTGCTTATTGTTCATAACATATCTTATACAGCTATTTCAATTATAGTTTTAGATAAATTTAGCATAGCAGTAGCCTCGTGGGGATGCTTTTAGCGACAGCTGCAAATGCAAATGAAAATTCAGAATATGCTAAATTTGGTTGTTGGTGAAACAATTTAAATTTCGAATTGTCGCGTGTAGCATCACAATAAATAGATAAATTGCATCAGTTTCACAAGGCACGTTTCTGATGTGTTAGGCTTGTTTCAAACGTCACGCTACTCGTGTGCTGAGCGTATTAAAAGCAATAAATAATGAGATGAAATGCCTTTGGTAAATGTTTATTTCGTAGTGTAAGCCATCAGCTTTTCTAGGTTGTCGGCGACCCTATATAGTTCTTGCAGTGTCTTTTTCAATTTGAAACTTCACACTATCCTTGGATCCCTAGTTGAGAATTTGGTTTGCAACTAGGTTTCAACGCCATCATCCCATTGAAAACATTAGGTCAGGTCAGCTAGTTTCCTATCCATGTATTTTATTATCCATGATTATACTATCTAACATTGTGTAATATTACATTGTGTTTAGAGGAGTACGAGTCGATCAAAGAATTACTGGTGGAGATAGCTCCACGTGAAAATTCTTCCCAAGTTAACCATTGGAATACTGGAGGTCAAATTTATCTTGATTACATCAAGTTATGGGAGAAATTTAATGACATCAAGGTAAATATTGCATGGCAATAGACCTTTCTTATAATTATTATTAATGTTAAACACTCTCACTCATTGTTCAAAAGTCATAAGAAGTAATTACTTAAATTATATTCTAAAAACTATGTAAGATACTATTTACTCTAAAATTTAAATATATAATATCAAGCTATTTATATAATAATCTAGGGTAAAATACTTATTATAGTTAATACTATTTAATTTAAAATTTAATCATGCAGTAAAAGGTGTAATTCAGTTCTGCTCATCAAAAAGTTGTTCAACCAAGTATAACTTCGTAGCTCATTTTTAAAACGTTCCAAATTGAAATTATGGGTTTTTAACCCGCCATTCTGGCAAACTGTTCCATGAACATTAAGCAGCTCGGTAGCGAAAAGAACGTTGTATGTATACATTTATAAACCATTACTGTATCTCGGAATCGCAACATATAATTGACTGGTAACCATGCAGTTAAGCTGATTTAAGGATGGCGTGATGTGATCAAATTTTTTTGTGCCAGTGACAATACGTGCTGCAAAGTTTTCCATGAATTGGACCGTATGGTTGAACAATAATAGAGCATGCTAAAAACCAGGGCATTTATTAAAAGAATTAACATTTTCATATCAAAAACATGCCTTGCTCTATTAATTTGACACAGGCTACCGACACAAGAGGAAACCAGTTTTGTAACGTGTTCATCATACGTTAAACCGCTATCCAGTGTCAAAATAATGATAAACTGACTGCAATGATTTCGAACAAGATAATGATCGTTTATTAGACTCTTTATGGAGCTGACATTGGACGAAATATCGTTAAAATTTGGCCCTTGGGACATCGCATTAAGTGTTTTTCCGGGTTTGACGTCATTATAAGAAAGGTTTAAGGATGTTGCTCTATAATACCAATATTCGTTCTGAAATGGTCAACAGTCTTGTAAATAAAAACTTCTATTTAAAATGAGAGATTTTTGTATCAGTTTTATTGAGTTAAACCCATTTTATGACATCATTTGAATAGACCAACTGTTGACAGTATGCGAATTTAGGAGCATGCTATTTTATCATTGCACTATTAATTGTTTTATTGTGATAAAAATAAAACATTCTACTAACTCTGTTCGTTCTTCATATTTTTTCATAGAATGGCCTGCTTGTACCAAATGTGTACCAGTTGGAGAAAATGCAAACTAAAGTGTCGTCGCTCTGTTATCGAATCAGTCAACTACCCAGCAAGACAGCCACTGACAGGTGAGTATGATGGATTTTCTTGCGACAATAATAACTCTCTCTAAGGAGACATGTTGTTTTTAATTTCAAATGCTAAAGCTGGCTCGCACGTGTGAGACAAGCAATTAAGTATATATAAGCACTAAGAAAAGACAACACAAGGAAAAAAAACACATTGCAACACAAAAGAATTTCAGAGGCAACGTTTTTTTTCCATTTCTGCTTATTTCGTCCATGTGAACCAGACTCCTGTTATTAGTATTAGTTATTATTGGGTTTTTTTATACACATTGTATTGCCGGCACCTATCATTCGAACTTGAATATAGTCACGAGATGATATCGAAACGATATTCTTTAAGGAGATTGTTTGAACACGTTAATGAATGTATTGACAGGTAAAATATAGTTAGTGCATGTCTCTTTCAACTCTGCAAGGGGGGGGGGGGGTTACATTATATTATTATTCAGCTCACTACCCATGCATTGGGGCTTTTCAGTGATCGATTACATCATGCAAGTATTACGCTCATGTTACTTACTCAACAGGATTTTTATTTCTATCGTAACGTCTGGGCTAATACATCTTACTACTCATGAGTGTGAAATGTAATTTGTTTCCTTTACAGATTATGTCAATCTGATATGGGAACAATGTGTGCAAACTTTCTGAAGATCATCGCCAAAGAACTTGTAAGTGATCCAAGGTTTTTAAAAAATTATTTCTATGAATCTGTTTCTGGTCAGCGCGCGCGTCATTTTTGACTATGCGCGTCAACATGTTTTTTTTTTATGAAAACACTTGAACATTTAATATTATTTTATAGTAGTTCTCATTTTATTCTATTAAACATGTAAATGTGCTGACAGTTTAACGTTAAGCATAAAAATCAATGTATGCCATTTCTGTAAAAAGCGTTTCCTTGAAAAATAGGGGAGGGGAGGGACCGCGCGTGCACGTCAGACAATTTTGAACAGACAAACTGACCAGAAACAAAATAGGTTTTTTGGCGTAAGTTAATTGTTGTTCAACAGTTACGTTATTGGTGCATTATGATTATGTCTAATCTATGAAACATATTTATTTTGCGTTTTGTAGGCTGTGCAGTCTGATGAGTCTGAAACTTCATATCACACACACTCAAGTGTACTCGCACCTCACATTGAAAAGTTACCACTACCAGAAGATTGCTGTCTTACAGAACTACGTGAGCTTGCTAGTAGTTACATAGATGAACTTGCACAACTATAACATGTTCCAGTCTTGCATGATATATGTATTTACTCGATAGACAAATGATTAACGTTGTTTCTTTGCATGTATGAAATATATCTAGCACTATAACTACGTATTGCACGATATTTTTTCATCAAAGGTAAGAGTAAAATCGGGGGCTATTGAGGTATTTCAGCTCCTACATAATAAATCCGCTTCAATTGGCAAAAATCAGAATAAGACAATAAGTGAAGATCCGAAAATCCCGTGCTCTTTTTCGAGTGAGTTGCTCCTCGAATGCATAAAATTAGCTGGAATTTTAAAATTTCTTGCAGTATAGTTTTGTATTAGGGCCTGTTCATATGATCCCGCTTACCGGGACGTCCCGCTTACCGATGATCTCGCCGCCTATCTATTTTCCTATAAAATTTTGCATTGTGTTCATATGAGAAAGCAAGCTGGCCCGCTTGCCGAGATCTCGTTTGAATTTGCCGAGATCATAGGTAGGCGGGATGAAAATTTTTCCATATGAACACGCCAGCCCGCTTACCGGGATGAAGTCAAACAAGTCTTGCCGGTTTAATTTAACACTTTTTACTTGGTTTTATGTTTGTTTTGTAAACAAGTATTAAATAAGCACCTGAAGCAATACTTTTTCTTGTAAATAAACGAAGAGAAACACTAAAATCGCTAAGTATTTGTGTTGCTTGACTGAAATGTAGAAGTTTTGCATACGCTAATTATAGAACTACATTGTAATTTCATCCCGGCAAGCGGGACGAAATACTCCATATGAACGCACGGAAATATTCGTCTCGGTAAGCGAGACGTCCCGGTAAGCGGGATCATATGAACAGGCCCTTAGAAGTAATTTCTACTTTAAAAGTTAAAATATACACCATGCTTATGTAATTGTCAACGAAATCTTTTAATAGAAGATTGGTTTCCATTCGATAAATTTCCACCTGTAGAAAATTTCATGCGGCTGCACACAAAATAAAATAATTTTTTATAACTATTAAAGTCACTTGACCATTGCGTTTTCGATCTGCAACCAACAACGCATCGTAAAAGAATAATTTGTGTGTCCAGGACTATATCAAGGGCGCCCAGAGGGGGACAAAGGAGGCAATTTCCACGGATTCCCAGTTAAAAGGCCTGGTTAGACAAAACTATAAGTGGAATATGCAAAGATATAACTGTCAAATACTTTCCCAGTTGTTCCAACCTACGGAATCAAAAGTATCAAACTACCTGAGAAATGTAACATAGGTCCAGTGAACTCTATACATATATATCTGGAATGATAACAGCGAGTGAAAAGTGAAGCCGACAAAAAAATCACGACATAAGTATTCGTCATTGTCTTCGTCATCAACTGTTCAAGAACTTTCTTACAGTATTAAAAATCACTTACATATAAAATTTGTAATTGTTTTGAAAGTTTTTATCACAGTTTTTATATCTTTATTCACTTTTAACCTGAAGATGGAGTTATACTCCGAAACGTAGTTATTAAAATAATTTTTTACTAAGCCCATATGGTCTAATTTATATTCAAACACACGTACATATTCATTTACATTTTGCTGGCAGGCAAATTCCGATCACACAATAAATTCTTTAAAAAATAACGTACCAGTGTATTGACTAAAAACTATAAAACTGGTAAACTAAAAAACAATTCAAACAATCGCGAAAAATGGCAACGGCAAAGTCACAGTTGCAAGTCAATTTACCTACCTGTGAAATGAAATTTTCTCGCAAGAATATCTCTTTCCTTGTGCATCCAGAACGACAGTACGACACAATATATTTGAAAAAGTGATTCTTTTCTCCACACGGGGAAGTTTTCCTCGACTTTTTTCCGACAGCGAACTCAATGCAGTAAATTTTAGGAGCAAAACAGTTTGCTCCTAAAATGTATTGCATTGAGTTGGGCAGTTGGCCATGTTTTTAATTTTTTTTTCGTGATTGCGTTCAAATTTATACTGGCCGTGCAACGGTCTGCAAGAGGGGGAATGAAACTGACGTCCAATCCGCGTAAACCTGACGTTTGAGGGACTGAGACTGACGTCCAATCCGCGTGAAAGACTGGTATCGAGGCTTCATTGTTTTCACAATCAAATGACTGAATGTTATCGTTCCAGATATATATATATATATAGAGTTCACTGCATAGGTCATCCTGGAAATGGCGTGCGAAATAGCAGCTTATCAAGAATTTTTCGCACGCATCGATTACGAAATGTATAGAAACCCAATATATATTATATATTTCGTAGCTATATCCCTTCCATAGAACTTGAAAGATTTTTCTGCACTTCACTTGGTTTACAACTGAATATTGAAGTAGATGGATAACCTTATTAGTAGTATACCCGCACACTCGAATGGCAGGCCGGTGCTTTTAAGACTCGGGAAGACTGCGGATTCGGAATTCCCATGAAAAAATGATCGCACGTGACGCCACCAAGGAGGGCGATTCATTGCACCCCAACGCTTCCATTTCTGGGATGACCTGTAACAAGAACTTCGATGGTTCGAGTGACAGGCTATTGGTCGTGAGCAGGGCACGAATTTTATCGCGGCAATTGCCGTAGAGGGAGAACAAAATGCCGTGGATCATTGTGGCAACGACGGCAATTTTTTGCCGTATAGTGCAATTTTTATACTATTCACTGTGCATTACTATTTTGATACTTGAATTCAGATGCTGATCAAATCATGCGTAAATCACTATTTTAGTCTCAGTTTTCTTCGAAAAAAAAACTAAAGAAATACGTAGACATGTTTCTAGCTTGTCAAAAATCCAAAGTAACAATAAAATTAAAGTTTTATTACAGTAATTTGAAAAATGCCGTGGAAACTGTCAAAATTGCCGTAGACAGCTGTTACGTTCTACGGCAATTTTTAACGCCATTGCCGTCGATTGATTTCAGGGAAATTCGAGCCCTAGTCGTGAGGGTTAAATGGGAGCTGGGATTTTCCTATTTTTCACTGGGAAGATTTTTAGAAAGATTGAAAAGATTTGGACCACTGTGAATGGAATTTGCACCAGCAATTTTGCTGCTGGGAATAGGATTTGGCGAATCAGTGGCTCGGGGAATTATTACTTCATTTAAATGCATATTTGATCGTTCACCTACCAATACTCGTCTACTTGTACAAGATAATTCAAAAAGCACGAATCTATGATAGAACAAAATTGAACATGTTTTGTGATTCGTTTCGAAAATGAACAATGTGACCAGTTTTGTAGCAATATTGTCCTTAGGCCAAATAAAAATAATAGTTGGTTTCACAGCCATGTTTATATGGGTAGGTAGGTCGGAAAAATATTTTATTTTAAAAAATATTTTATCTCAAGTATGCAATAAATATAAGTTAAAACTCATTGTCAAGCGTTTCTCGCGCCACCATTGTTTATGAGTAACTGTCACGTGTGATCAAACGTGCCACGCGGGATCACCCGCGAGCTACATGTGTTTTGCGAGAAACAAACGCATCAAGGCGTTTTCGTCTTTTTTCAGCCGTAGCTGCCATGTCAGAATAATGTACCTTTTTAATATTTTATTCAACTATTTGTGTAAAACTATGATTAACATTGACTAGATAATGATTAAATTATAATCAAACAAAATAATTTGTAGACAAATGAGTCTGATGACTATTTATGTATTCTGCTATTTACGAAAAGATTATCTCTACTGGGAAATGTCAATAAAATGTTTATGGTCGGTCATATTTTTGAAAGGTCTGTCGGAAACCTGAAACCAACTATTATTTTTATTTGGCCTTATTGAACAGTCAAGTCAAGGGTTGTTTCAACCTCAGGGACTTTCCACCTGCTGGGAAAGAAGACCCTGGGTACGAGGATGGGGTTGTTTACATGATCCCGCGGTTAGCCGGGACGAGATGCAAGGATTTTGATGTTTTGAAATAAATCACTAGCCTTGAATGAAAGTTCAAACGTCGGTTGAAAGAACACGAATGTTGTCGAGAAGATTATTGCTGCTTGAGCAACCTTTCGTTCAGAATTGTAATATAATCTATCGCTAGAAAATTAATGAAGTTTTGCTGAATCGTGCACCGTGACTTATTTCAATATATCAAAATTATCCTCTCAGTCAACCAATCACTAGACGTTCCGGATGGGTCATAAAGAAAAGTTAACACGTGAAACTGGTACGCTTATATGCATGCATAACTAATGAGGTGCAAATCGCTCTGTTAGTCGTTATTAAGCAACACAAAGGTTTAATAGGTCCGAACTACACCGTAAAATATGAGAACTATATTTGTACAAGTTGGTATGTTCTGGCTTTTTTTTTGACGCGATTTTAGAAGAACACTAGCAGCCCACATGAAATGCGACTTCATTGTTGTACTTGCCAGAGAAATTGTATATTAAAAATACGAATTTACTGAAGCTATTTAATAAACTTCCCAAACAAACACATGCATGAACATCGGAGCGTATACACAAACGAAGGCAATTGGGTTCGTATTGAGTGATATGCCCCCAATCCTGAGATTTACCCATTCACCTCACATTGGCATCACCTTGTGGCTTGTATACTATGCATGAACTTTCAGTTGGAGCTTGACAACTGGGCTCTTTAGCTTACTGTTTAGACCACGGGTTAGACCTATGGTAACAATTAGTAGAGTGTAGTTTGATCTTGCAATGTAATATGATCGGCACAGAATAAGGGACTTTGAACACTTTTTGTCGCGTGAACCGGGTTTAGGCGGGAGAAGAGTTAAACAGGTCAAGGTCATTCCTGATTCTTTAGACCATGAATATTGGAAATGTTCATTTATTGAAAGCGTTAACCTTCCCTTTATAATGTTAAGAGGCTTATTATAGTTGCGATAAAACAACAGCTCTTATTGGTATATATTGGCTATGTCATTCTATGGCGGGTGAATATGAAATACAACGTGAATAACCACCCACGCTAATTTTTGAATGGTTACGACACTTTAATTAATATTCCAGAATAGAGTTTGTGATTGGTCAGACAAAAATTGGCGCGAGGGTTGATGCGTCTCTCCGACTTATCTTTGGCAGTCAGGAGTTGTCATTTCCCAGGGGAAGGTTGAGCTTTGTTGTATTGGTGTTTTAGCCGTATATTTTAGCCAATTTTTTGTGTCTTAGCGTTCAGATGGCAGCAGAAGTCACTAGCAAGATGTTTGTTATCAAGCGAGGTGAGTTAAAAGACTCGAAATCTCAAAATGTTGACGATATGCCTCCGTTTACATCAGCGCGACCTTGGCCATATTGTGCTGTATTCTGTTTCTCTTCTCTAGATGGGCGAAAGGAGAACGTGATGTTTGATAAGATAACATCGAGGATAAGCAAGCTATGCTACGGACTGAAGGAAGACTACGTTGACCCGGTAAGGCGAACTATCAAAATATGTTTATAGGCTTCGAATTATGTTGGCGCCAAAATCAAACAAAGGCTATCGGCCAAAACGAATTTTTTCTTTCGTATTTCTCCGGTATTATAGAATGTGTATACACTACAGCACGAATTCTTGTTTTCCAAGGTTTAAACAGCCTGATTTATTCATTTTTCTCGATATTCTTGCCAAAACCATAGATTTCGTTTGGCGCCATATTTTAATTTATAGTGTGGTTCGGTTGTGCATGTTGATCTGCCAAGAAAGTTAGAATGCACGAAAAGCTTACTCCTTAAAAAGACATGTACAATAAATACATGATTCAAATTATCGTATTACTTTGTGGTTATTTTCTTCAGTTTATATGTTGAATTTATAAACATTCTCTGCCTCAAAGTATACTGGGCCTTGTTGACTCTGTAGTGCTTTCTGCTCTGTGCTCTTTCTATTGCACCAATCATTTCAAACCCTCAACTGCCGCTCTCACCTATCTTGGGCATATCTGTGCCATTCACTTACTATGTGTGATAAAGTTAGTGAATTCCTCAGTCTTCAGGGGAAAACAGCAGGGCGAATTCCCCCTGCCCTGTCATTCTGTCATGGAATTAAAATTTTCACAACAGTTTTTAAATTTTCTGGTGGGCTGACAGTAGTCATTTTCTTGGTGGCGCATATGGGTTAAAGCTAAGTTAAATGTGAGCATGTTTGTTAAGGGTGACAATTGTGAGTTTGTATCTCAGAGGACTAATTTATTTCTAAAATAAATTGGGATTAATAGGTCGCAACATTCCTACTTGTATATAAAATCTAATGAAAAAACCCCAAAGGGTAAAAATAAGCAAAGAAAACAGATATACTTATAGATCTCTTTTGCCAATCAGTTTTGTAAAGTCGCTAACACACAGGGGTCGTCTACAAATTTCGTCCTCCGATCGAGAACTTGTTACATGATGTTCACTCCCTACATCCTGACAAACATGGGGATTTTGGCCATCTACCCTTGACAGTATTAGAATGCCATTTTGACAACGAATGTAAACCCATACATAAACAAACTATTTTAATAAATGTTTAAATATTGTTTTGTGGTGAACTAAGGGCTATTTGTAAAAACCTAAAAAGAAATTAAATAAATACCTTTTAATTTTGTGACCAAAAATGCGAATTTGAACGAAAATCCCAAATGAAGTTTACATGTGTCAACAACAAATTACCTATGACTGCGATCAAATACGTATGACTGCGATCAAATACTCCGGCGTAAATGTTTGGATAATGTTGAATATTTACTTTATACAACTAGTTCTAGTTTAGCAAGATGCAGTTAGATGTACTGTGATGATATCAGCAAAATTTAATGTATGTATTTTGTTTGGTTCCGGTTACAAAACAGCTGCTTTGTGGGAAACAGCTCCTGACATGATCCAAGGGCCATTCCCCACCCATCAGTAAATATGTATACCACATTGCTTATTCTTATTAATACAGTACCAATCATAACAATAAGATTGTGAAAATACCACTCTATTCAGGTTGATATTACAATGAAAGTTGTATCTGGTGTATACAGTGGGGTGACAACTGCTGAACTCGATAACCTTGCTGCAGAAACAGCTGCGGCAATGACCACCAAACACCCAGATTATGGTACTTTGGCTGCACGGATTGCTGTTTCCAACTTGCATAAAGAAACTACCAAGACATTTAGTGGTATGTTTTTTAGCTAATTGATTTGATTCCCTTTGTACATGTTTTGAGTTTCATTTGGATTACATGCTTTGAGTAGTAAGGCAAAAGAAATATATTTGAGGTTTGATGCACAAATCTAAGTATTAGAAAAAATAAAGAGGTGGCTGTTTAATTAAGGCACTTGCCCACCATGGCATGTAGGAGCATGCACACCTTGGCAGACACAGGGATCATTAAGATGTGCATTTTGCTGTGCACTTTACATTCTTATGAAAGTACAAATGCACATCTCATTTCTTTATTCATTTTGCCAGTGAACAATCTAGTCCCCATAAGCATAGTGTTTGGTCGTTTTCCATCACAGACCTGATGGTAATATGGAGCACAATATATCCCACATGTCTATAAAAATGCATATAGCCACTAATATATTTGTTGTGTTGCTTAGTGGTTATGAAGGATCTGTATGAACATGTGAACCCCAGGAATAGAAAGCATTCACCTCTGATCTCAAAACAAACCTATGACATCATAAAGAAACATGAAGATGTAAGTGAATACTGTATTTAGTATGCTCTACAATAACTTGCAGCAGGGTTTTTTTTTTCAGAACCAAGGTATGACAATTTGTTGATATACAATATCTGTTGATTAACCCATGCATTACAGTCCATTAGTGGAGCTTTGGTGGCGCAAATGTCAGAGCAAGCGCCTTTCTCTTCTGAGATTGTGGGTTAGATCCTCACATCAGACTATCATCACTTACTACTCTGGGTACTCTGCTTTCCTCCCGCAGGGAATGTTGACAGGGTGTGTTGGGATTAGCCCACTGTAGCTGTGCTCCATGGTCAGACATGAGTCATAAGGTGGCCGCCAGCAGCGCCCTTAGTAAGCCTTCGACTTGATCAGGTTGAACTGCATCCTTCGCAATTCAGTTTCGCTCCTAGCTGCAAGTAAGGACGATTAGCACACCCCACTTTTTACTAGAACTTTACTTACTACAGAACTTACTTTGTAAGATTAAAACACATGGGCATGCAGAATAATCTTGGTGAATGGTTAGCTCCAGAATAGTTTCCATAAGCAATGTTGATTTTCACATTTACAGTATGATGACATTATATTGGGAATTTATTTTACAGGTGCTCAACTCTGCCATTATCTATGATCGAGACTTCAACTACACATACTTTGGATTCAAGGTAGACAACATTATATGGCATGTGTACAGCATGCATGCACAACAGTCTTGTACAAATGTTGTGCATGTATTAATTAATAACTTGTACTAGAGCATTGTTCTATAAAAACAGGTTTGAAAATTGGATGTTTTTAGGATTGGCTTCATCATTCATAAAATGTTTTTAGTTTGCAAGTTCTGATGAACTTCTCTCTTAACCTTTTAACATTTAAAGGGTTAGAATTGTCATTGGATAATTAGGGTGCAAGTTTGGATTTGGAACAGTGACTTAAATTACTTTACGTTAATAATGTGAAACCACGTTTGTTTTATCTTGCTGTGCATGTTTTCCATTTTTGGCTCGGGTAACACAGCCTTCTACCTAAGACCCTGATTTGGAAATCTTGATGGTAAATATACTTTTATGGTTAGTGTCCCTCAGAATGAGTTCATATTTTCTTTGAAATGTTTGAATGCAATCAATTTTTTATGATTTATTTTATTGCAGACATTGGAGCGATCATATCTACTGAAACTGAATGGCAAGATTTGGGAACGACCTCAGCATATGTTAATGAGGGTATCAATTGGTATCCATGGTGAGGATATAGAATTAGCCATTCAAACCTATAACTTGATGTCGGAAAGGTGGTTTACCCATGCATCACCCACGTTATTCAATTCTGGCACTAATCGTCCTCAATTATCAAGCTGTTTTCTACTCTCCATGATGGACGATAGCATTGAAGGAATTTATGAGACTTTAACAAGATGTGCACTCATCTCTAAAAGTGCTGGTGGGATTGGCTTGAATGTACATTGTATCAGGGCAACTGGAAGTTACATTGCAGGGGTAAGTATGCAAAACATAGGCTACCTTTTTTCTACCGACCTAATGAATAATGTCGTTTTGGATGGGGTTTGGGTTGTTTGCTTACCTTTCGAACCTATTTTTTCGTGCATGCTTTATAATACAACATGACACAAAAAATGGTGTCCGTGTTTAGCCTTTACGTATTATGGCAATGCCAATGCACCTTTCCAGAATTTACAGAAAGTACGTCATTTTGGCCATAATTAAATTGAAGCGTCGCAATCATGAAAACGAGGCTCTATAGCCAAAGTGACGTACTTTCCGGAAGGAGCCATTAATCATACTCGTTACCATCGCTGACCTTGGAATAAGGGGGGAAATTTAAAAAAAAATCTGACTTACCTTCCCTAATTTTTTAAGGATATTTTATTAGGCCTTATTAAAACTTGCTTTACTGTAAATGGCATTGTATCCCTTGTATTTGTATACCAAGGGCAAGGCTCAAACCCTTGAGACCTGCGGACAGAAAAAAATCCTTCCAGTTGGATTTTTTCGTGTGGGACGTGAAATAATTGTGCTTATATATGTTGTGCTTATATCACAGTTCCAAGAAGCATGCTTCTTTATTACGTGTTAATTATGATGTTTGGGTCGTATTTTACATCGTAAAATTGTGACGAGTTCATACATTCAACTTCAAAAGAGTAATCATCACATTTCGAATTCGCCATGGGCATGGTTTACATTCCATTTCATTAACTCAAAACAAATTTACTTTTTACATGAAACGATTTTACGATTTGATATTACTGGAACCTGCAATCAGAACAGAAGGTTGTGAAGACGAGTCTGCCTGTGTTCATGTTGGCATTTTTGGCAATAGGGAGTTTAAGCTTCACGTTTCCGGGAACGGCAAACGGCATTTTCGTTGAACGTTTCCGTTTCATATTTTTCTTTCTTCCGTCGAAAGAATAATTATGTATTTCAGTTTTAAAACAGCAAGTTCATTTACTCTTTATTTGCCTGATGCCGTAAATTTTTCTTTGCCTGGCGTTTGCCATTTCACGTATAACGCGAAGCTTAAGCTCTCTATTATTCTCTTAAAAACCCGCTGATCCTGTCATACTCCGATATTTTTACTTTCGAATTTTCAAATTCTTTTACTTAGTTATTTCTAAGTTCGCATTTTATATATAAAAGATAAACAATATTTTAGAAATAAAACAGCTGATAGCGATGATTTAACTTATTTAAAAGCGTGTAGAGCGAACCTAAATGACGTCACAGCACACGTCAATCATGTGTAGCGTAGACATAGTTGCTTTAGGGACCGTTCATTATTTATACCCGGGGTTGGTACCGAAGAGATATGGGTTGGGTAAACAAGTTTTTGACTACATCATGGGTTGGGTAAAAAAAATTATGGCTGTTTTCAGTGTGACCAGATTTGGTAAAAAGTTTTACTTTTGGTAAAATTTCGTGAATTTTCAAGAAAATTTGGTAATGAGTTTCTTTTGGTAAAATTTTGGTAAAATCTGAAAGGTTTGAATTATTAAAAATAGTTGGTAAAAATGTGTGTTTTTTGTTTAATAACGTGCTCAAAGTGATGAACAGAACTGCCAAGCCTAAGAAATAAAGCCTTATCATTAGCAAAAACTGCAATACGATGAAAGCAACAAGTATTTCGAGACACCTTTTGTGAATATTTTTTCTACTTTGATGACGTAACTATTGTTTTTTGGCATTATCATGACGTAATTATTTGGGAAGCCGACATCTGGTAAAATTTTTCTTAATTTAGTAAAATTTGAACAAAATTTTGGTAATGACTGCTGAAAAAGTCTGGTCACACTGGCTGTTTTTCAGCTATAAAATAAAACCAAAATTACCATGCATATTGGAAAATATGTAGAAAAATGTGTACAATACAGTCTGTACCAAAACAGACAATCGGTGATTGAGGAAGAACTCTATCATCGATCGGCAGGAACGCGATTGCTTTGGCACACTCAGTGAGTTTGAGTGTGAGTCGGCTTTTAGAATTTAGGCAACTTGATTTCTGTCACCATAATCTTGTGTGTTTAATTATTATGAAGTACAGTAACACATGGGTTGGGTAAACATTGTTTTGACCAATGTTGAGGTTGGGTGAATAAAAAATTTACAGTGTTTTTCTCTTCGGTACCAACCCCGGGTATAAATAAGGAACAGTCCCTTAGGTGTGTAGCGTAGACATATAGTTGTGTAGCGTAGACATAGTTGTTTTAGGTGTTCGAACATTCTGATGCTAAGTTACAGTAGTAACAGTACCTTTGTTTTATATACTTTCAAGACTGGATTGATTGTAATTAACTTTATTAAGCATGAACTGTATCCAAAATTGTGAATTCAACACTAAATATTACGCAAGACACTATTATTCAATCGCGTAAGATCTTGAAGTATGTTTTACGATATATTGTACTTTATTGCATATTATCCGCCACTATCGCAGCTTGGATTTACATTTTCAGTTAAGCAATCTTGTATCAAGCAATTTTAAGGGCCTTCGTTGCTATGGGGACCTTTTTTAGCTGCCCCCTCTCAACACGCTAAACTGTACTGCAAACATTTCATACTTTCACTCATTAATAAATATTTTATATTTAGACGAATGGTTTGTCGAATGGAATAATCCCGATGTTGAGAGTGTTCAATGCTACGGCAAGATATGTTGATCAAGGTGGCAACAAACGACCTGGTGCTTTTGCTATTTATCTTGAACCTTGGCATGCAGATGTTTATGACTTTCTTGATCTGAGGAAAAATACCGGAAAGGAGGAACAGGTTTGTCGACCTTCTATGACGTATGCTTGAATGTATAAACCATTTTGAATGGCGGAACGGTGTTGCAGGGAAATATTCCTGTATTCCACTTAAAATCCAATTAACTCTTTGATAACCGACGATATATTTAACCGTGATTCATTGTGCTCTAGCGAGGTTTAAGTACTGTTTAATAAACTCGCAGGAGTGTTTTATTAGGTTTAAAGCACGAGCGCGCAGCGCGAGTGGCTTTAGACCTAATAAAACACGACCTGCGAGTTTATTAAACAGCTTCAAACACGACTACAAACTCAATAGATATACTGCCTTATTAGTATTCTTTATATAAAAAATACTAATGAGGACAGGCCTACAATAGATACTGCCTTATTAGTATTCTTTATATAAAGAATACTAATTAGGAGTGTTTTATCAGGTTTAAAGCCACTGCACGTGACATATTATGGTTGACATGATTTGCCAATAAGCTTATCAATTATTAATGAGTGTTTTATTAATGAGTATTGATTTATAATTGTCACGTGGAACCAGAATGACATTCTGATTTGGTGTTAACAGTATACCACAATGCTTTGCGATATCAAGATGGCATCGATAATGATAAAGTGTTAAAGTCTGTATAGTGTTATACATCATGAATATAATTTTTGAATTATTTCTAGCGTGCGAGAGACCTGTTCTTTGCCTTATGGATTCCTGATCTGTTCATGGAACGTGTTGAAGCGGATGGAGACTGGTGCCTAATGTGCCCGGATGAGTGTCCTGGTTTACACGAAGTCTACGGGGATGAATTTAAGGAACTTTACACGAAGTATGGGTTGTATAGTAGTCTGATTTTACACAAAATTTGCTTGGATTTTGCATGCCGGCGAATTAGATCATTAAAAAAACGAGGATGTAATGAAACTCGCAATATTGATAACTTTGGCTTGGAGACATTTTATTTTATTTTTTTTTTTTATTTGCCATTACAAACAAAACGAATTTACAATATTGATAATACATACACTGACACATGGCTGGATTATCATCACAGCTTCGTAGGATAAATCCACGGGAGCCAATTACGATTCATTAGCCCTAACACACTTTTAAGTTACTTCACTGGTTACATTTAAGTTAAAACAACATGGTTTTCGGAGAACGTGTTCTAGATTTCTATTTACATGACATTTCACGTATTACTATTTGCATGACCTTTCACGTAATTATACGTTTCAGCATTGTCCGGGTCGTAGACATCTCTAAGTAGCCCGTAATTTCAACCATGCCGCTATGTTTCAAGGCAAACAACTGACTCTCTTCAAGACTTTCAAGTGGCCGCCAAATATTAATAGTTCGACGAATACTTCATCAACAATACTGATACAAATATAAAAGCGAGTTCGCTCCTTCACCTCCTTGACAGTGACTGTGACACGTCACGAAAACAAAGTGAGTTCTTCATGAACTTCTTTCAAAAAAGCTGCCAAAAGAAAATTAAGTGATTAGAGAAAACATTTGGGTAGATATGCGCAACTTTATGCAGTTACGACTTTACAATTTTATTTATTCTCGAAACCGTGTTTACAAACTTGATTATATTCCTAACTGCAATAAATTTGTACTGTACGTAGAAAAGAATACCACAAAACAATTTCTCGAGATCTTTCAAAACTAAAAAACACTGAAACGATGAATGACTTGATTACCAATAAGAATTCCCTCCATTTACTCGCATGTTTCAGATATGAAGCAGAAGGTCGATATAGGAAGAAAGTCAAAGCCCAAAAGCTGTGGTTTGCAATTCTTGACTCTCAAATTGAAACTGGTACTCCGTATATGATGTACAAGGATGCCTGTAACAGAAAAAGTAACCAAAAGGTACGATGTCTTTTGAACTCTTAAGTTTCCCATAATAACAATTTTCTAGAAGAATTTTGATGAATTTCACGATATCTTTCAGAACCTCGGAACAATCAAGTGTAGTAATCTTTGTACAGAGATTGTGGAATACACTAGTAGTGATGAGGTGAGAATATATACCATCCTCACAATAGAAAGCTTTTGGTTGATGTTACTCTGAGTGCACTTCCCCCCACTGAGACATCTGAAAAATTGAGGAGTTCAACACCACAACCACGTTAGATCACAAGATCTAGACAGATATCAGTAAAAGTAATTCAGTGCATTTTTCTCAATGTACCATTTGCATTATAGACTAAATTTTGATCTAGACAAAAATTTCATCACAGCTTGAAAGAGCATCACAAAATTAGTAATATTCCAAAGTTTCGTTGCGAAATGTTGTAAAATGCGGATAATATAGCCTTGCGAAGTTTGCCGTTTTCAGTCATTTTGCATTACGCGGGGGAAATTGACAGCCCAAACATTTTGGGGCTGTCGATTTCCCGTTTGTAATACAAAGTGACTGAAAAACGACAAACTTCGCAAGGCTATATTATCAGCATTTTACAACATTTCGCAACGAAACTTTGGAATATTACTAATTGTGTGATGCTCTTTCAAGCTGTGATGAAATTGTTGTCTAGGCTTGTCTAGATCAAAATTTAGTCTATATGCAATTGGTCAATTTTTTGCCCTACACACGAGTAAATAAAACTTTTCAAGGAAAAATTACCTGTCTGTACAGGGCTTTGCTATGCAAGATAAATCTTTGAACACTAACATTAATTTTGTGAAATGTTTCTCAGCATAGGTTATATTGGTCCCCTCAGTATATATGGCTATTTTATTGTCGGGACCTTATTCAACAAGATCCTGATGGCGCCCATCATTAAACTGGTTTTCCAACAGGAAAAACTTGAAGGCAATTTCAGGTAGGTTTGAAAGAATAAGTTATCGACCATTTTTTTATGCTAATTTGTTAATGATTTTTTAAATGGAAATTTTGAGTGTAAAGTGTAGACCTTACTTGGAGCAGCTAGGAAAAATGCAACTATAGGCCCTCTCGCAGGAATCCAACCTGCGTCCCTGCGATTCCGGTGCAGCGCTCTAACCAACTGAGCTACAGAGAGACAGTTGTCGAGCTCTAACCAACTGAGCTACAGAGAGACAGTTGTCAAGCTCTAACCAACTGAGCTACAGAGAGACAGTTGTCGAGCTCTAACCAACTGAACTACAGAAAGACAGTTGTCGAGCTCTAACCAACTCAGCTACAGAGAGACAGTTGTCAAGCTCTAACCAACTGAACTACAGAGAGACAGTTGTCGAGCTCTAACCAACTGAACTACAGAGAGACAGTTGTCGAGCTCTAACCAACTCAGCTACAGAGAGACAGTTGTCAAGCTCTAACCAACTGAGCTACAGAGAGACAGTTGTCGAGCTCTAACCAACTGAGCTATAGAGAGACAGTTGTTGAGCTCTAACCACAAGTTCATGGTGTTCTTGTAATATTTCAAATCTGACTATGAAGACTGGACTAGATTTCAGTTCAAGTCCGCGCAATTTGATCAAAATGCGAGGACTTGAAATCTAGTCCAGTCCGAATTGGAGGATTTGAAATAACATTTCATTTAAAGTGAAGTGAATTAATTTTGATCCAATCCTACAGTAGGACTGAATTAATTTTGATCCAGTCCTAGAACTGGATCAATATACTTTACCAGGCATCCGTATTATCATGTGAGCAAATTAAACCAACATCGTTGGCTAATTTACTTGTGAATTATTAATGAGTTTGAGATGTATATATAGCAAATATTTTCTTGGTATAAAAGATCATTTTCTGGGAACTGATTTCCATATTTCGAAACACGAAATTCTTGTTTACATAATTTAACCAATCTAAAGTCAGTATCAATATGAGGTGACGACCTTTGATCACAAGACATTAGATATTCTATTTCTTGCCAGAAAATTCCTGTCTGTCCATTGAACACTTCATGCGGAATAGCGATATTTGTCTGCTGCTCTAAACAGACCATTTTGTTAAAGATTTCAAGCAAATACTAACACAGACTTTCTCGAAGAACGAACACTGTATCTACATTGTGTCTATATAGCGAGGTTTACACTACAAAGCGACTAACATCAACACAGAACTTGCTTTCTTTATATTACGACAGAATGGCGTGAAATTTATGGCGTCTTATATACAAGGCTATGATGAGGAAAGATTCGCAAGCAAAGTTAATCGAAATTTCCTCTGTTTGATTTGCTTCAATGTCCTTAAAGACCCGGTTCTGTGTCCGAGAAATCAACATTGTTTCTGTCGTGCTTGTATTACGAAACATCTCGAGAATTCTCAAAGATGCCCTACGTGTGCGGACGAACTGACGGCAGAGACTTTGGCCAAACCACAAAGGATGATAAAAGATTATTTAGATGAATTAAATATTCATTGTGTTTACAACAACAGGGGTTGTGAGGAGATCGTACAACTGCAACATCTTGACAACCATGAGGCTACATGTGGATTTACTCCAGCCGTTTGTACAAACCCAGGCTGTGTTGCAACTTTAAACCAGCGTGATCTTATTAACCACGAAAGTGAACTATGTGAATTTCGCAAGTTGAAGTGCCACTCGTGCGGACAAATGGCAAAAACGTTGGCAGATATGGAGAAGAAAATGGTAACGATGGCGACAAATGTGGCGAGTGTCGAGACAAATGTGGCGACCAATATGACAAAAATGGCGACTGTGGTTGCCATGGAAACCCGCATGAATGATATACATACAAATGTGGCGAATGTAGAGACACAAATTGCAAATGTGGAGAAGAACATGGAGAGAAACACGGCAGACATGGAAGGAAAACTCGAAGCGGTGAATAATGAGGTGAAAGGATTGAAAACAGCTTTGATTGAAGGTTTTGATGAAATGAAGGATGTTCTTGTCAAGGTGGAGGACAAGATAGAAGAAAACGTGAGAAAAGTAAGAAATACAGCAAGTGGTGATAAGGAAAATATAATTGTTGCTGGAGGTTTTGGAACTGACTTTGTAGAGATGTTTAACTGGCGTCAAAGAACATGGTCGCCATTACAGTCCTTGCCAAAGAAGCGTTATGCAGCGACTTCATTTGTATACAACAATCATGTGACAATTGCTGGAGGTTACTGTTCTGGCTATGTTGATGATATGATTAGAATGAATATAAACCCAAACCCTGATCTCTCAACACACTGGAGTGACTGTCCTGTTAAACTGCCTGGTAAGTTGGTATCCCACAGCAGTGTGCTGTATAATGATCAGCTAATAGTCACTGGTGGTTATAATGGAAATGCAGTATCTGACTGTATTCATGAAGTTCAGCTTACCCCTCCTTATACCGCGAAAACCTTATCGAGAATGCCAGAACCAAGACTGCACCACAGCACGCAATTATTTGATGATAGTTTGTTGATCGTGGGTGGAAGTAGAGCTGCCAATTACCGAAACAGCCTCAGCAGTGTGGTACTGTATGATATAAAGAAGAATGAATGTAAACAGTTGGCACCACTGCCGTATGAAGTGAGTGAGATGGCAACTGTGAGATGGGGAGACAACATCATTGTTATAGGCGGCATTCACAAACGTCTCAATCGATTAGATACATTGATCATTTACAATGTCAAGACTGAACAAAGTTGCATGTTGCCACCAATGAGATGTAAAAGATGGAGATGTACTGCCGTTGTTATTGGAAACAACATTGTAGTACTGGGAGGAGAGGGTGAGCAAGGACGTGTCTTAAAGTCAGTTGACGCTTTCAACTTCGAAAGTTATACTTGGCAAGAACTTCCAGAAATGTCTCAAGCAAGATGGTGGCACACTGCTGTTGTTGTGTGAACAATGTAAGAATGTTGAACTCATTTCTTTAAGATAACAAGTTGACTTTAATCATATTATGAACCTCTAAATTAGACTAAAAATCCTATATGGGAAGTTGTAGTATTATACTGTGATAGTTTGGTATGTGTAATCAAAATGATATTTAACCATGCATATGGTAATATTGAATTAATTTTTTTAGGTCTTTCCAGACCTCAGTTATAATGATGCGCTTGCAGAGACTAAACTTTCCAAACTTGGTGAAAGATTGGAGAAATTGAGTGGTGATTTATTTAGTAATATTGTTAAGAATGATAATCATAAATTAGCCCATCTATTACCTCCTAAAGTTAATGTATCTCGGAACATGAGGAATCCTAGAACTTGTGAAATTCTGAGGTGTTAGACAGATCGGTTTAAGAAATAATTTATAGTAAATTTCGCTGACATTTTTAACTGTGATTCGTAATTTTATATTTTTCTTAATCTTGAAAATGTAATATAAATTTTACGCAATTCATTGTAAGAGTTTTTCAGCGTAATTCAGTCTTTGACTGCAAAGCTGGTACATTTTGTAATAAACGATTTATATATATCTGTCATTGTCAACCGTTAATCCGCTTTAAGATTTTGATAATTTAATTGGTAATATTGAGTCGTGATACAGTATAACAATATTGTTACAACCTAGTGTCGTCAACCTTGTAACATTCTTGTTATATCATACCGGAATCGCAGGTTCGATACCTGTCTGGGACTTGTAGTTGCATTTTTCGCTTCTGTTTCTGGTTAGGTCTAATAAATGTATATAAATTTCCACTCGATAATTTCCATCTACATTATCCTTCAACTATTCCTGAATCGTGTGAGATGCCAACAAAATCTTGATATTTACCCAGAACTTAAAACGTGGCAGTACGCTAGTATATATACATGAACTTGTGATTAGAGCTCGACAGCTGTCTCTCTGACACCGGAATCACGAGGCTGCAAAGTTTATATTTAGTATCCAATCAAAATGTCGCAGGAGAAATTTAAATTTCACACAACGACAACAACAATCTAATTATAGCATAGGCAGCCCACTAAACGGCTGAATTTAAATTAAAACTGCAATGAACTTATAAAATTAACAAAAATAATCACAAATTAGCGAAATATATTGCAAATGTAGCTTATATTAAATCGCCACCCGATTGCTCTCTCCTCCGCAGAGGTTTCAGTGACTACAACGAGCTTTACATGGCGCTTGCCGTATTTATCAAGAAAGTGACGTATAATTATAAAGTATATATATATATTTGCGATTGTTTTCTAATTTTACTGCAGTTTTAATTTAAATTCAGCCGTTTAGTGGGCCGGCTATAATTGTAGTTGTGATCGTTATAAAATATATCAACAACAATAGTATAATCTAATTAGCACCAGCCAATCAAATGACAGATTTAAAAAATCGTTTGTCTAATCGGCCAATCAGCGCTCAGTCCAGATTCTGGACTGAATAACCAGGCAAAATGCCGCTTTTGTGTCAGGTTACATTTTTCACAACTGCTCCTGGTTAGGTCATGTAAAAATGTATGTAATTTGCACTCGACAATTTCCAACTCCAAAAAATCTCATCAACATCTTACTCCATCGTGTCAGATGTCCAAAATCCTGTTATTTACCCATGAATTTTCGTTTGAGAATCTATATCGCCATTTCCCGTTTAATAAAAATCAATATTATATTCATCTTTTTTTTCAGATTCAAACATATGCAGCTTCGAGTCAATGCTGAATCTACTGCTTTTTACCAGTAAGCTGTATTTTAGTCTTCAGTATTTGAGTGAGTCATGCTTTGGAAATGACAATGAATTTTTATTACACATTACTCACTCAACGGCGACGGTCAACGGCGATGAAATTTTCAGCCTGAGCTTCGGTGGTTAGCACACTCCCTCTCACCTCTAAGGCCACAGGTTCAAGCCTCAATGAGAACTTTCTCAATGCGACTCGAACCCAGTCCGGGTACTCCGGTTTCCTCCCACAGGGAAAGTTGACAGGGTGGGTTAGGTAAAAGGGCCCATGTGGTGACCCTGCATGCCCCAGTTGGCAAGGCTAAATAAAAAATATTTCTGTCATGTAATCGCTTGCTGTGTTTTAATGGATTTTATCCTTAGGCCGGCCTGAAATTTCAGTCCGGGAAATCGGAATGAAACTCAGCCCGGGTTGAAAACTCTCCATGCAATCAGCCCCTAAGTAGTATATCAACAAACCTTAATCTGATCCGTTTCCGCCCACAGTAAAGTCTATATTTAGTATCTAATCAAGATGTCCCAAGATGAAGATAAATGACAATTTCACACAATAACAATCTATTTATAGTTAAACTGTTAAATATATATTATGAACAAGTATAGCACTAACCAATCAAAAAATTGTTTTGTCTGATAAACCTTATCAGGTGAAAAGCTAATTTTTTTCATGCGGTCAGACAGCGATTTGTTTCAGGCGTTAGGCCCTCTTTTATTCTACCCACCCGCATTTAAGGAAGGGAATACAAGGCCTGATACTCAGACTAGCTATAAACGTTTTCGTTATGTTGTGTAGTTCTGGGTTGCTTGAAGAAAAGAAAACAAATGTCAAGTTTGAGGTATTTTCCAAGAATCACGATACGAAGCTGTTAACAACTTGTAACAAGCTTGATAGCATTATCAGACTTGTTACAAGGTTGTTCTGACAAGTCTGATACAGTTATGATACAACAAGAATTAATGTTACAAGGTTGTAACCCAAGTGAATACAACTTGTTGAAGGCTTGTTGGCAAGTTCTTAGCTACACACGCAAAAATCTC